CTGAGACTGCCCCTCTGTGCCTGTGACATTTCTGAGCCTGGCCTATGGCCCTCAGGGTACAATCTGCTCATCCCCTTGCTCATGACAGGGCTCAAGGAAGGGCAGAGAGATGGAAGTTCATTTCCACAGGCTTGTCCGCACTAACTCACACACAGCTGTGGTGCATGCAAGGCACGGAGAGAAACTGGACCAGAGTCTGGACACCTAGGGCCCTGTCTTTCAGTCAGTTCACCTATTCAAGCACCAGTTTGCCATATATAAAACAATCAGGCTAACAGAATAAAATCCTGGCTCTGAAATGCCAGTGACATTTGATGAGTAGCTGAAATTTTCTAAGAGGGCCTGGGAAAGTATTTATGATACGCTGTTAACTGAAAAGCTAGTATCCAGGGGCTGGAGATTAGCTCAGCAGTTCAGCATCTACTTAGCAGATGCCAGCTCCTCCCCCTCAAAAAATGTCAAGTCATAAAACATCTCTATCACTCTACTTTTATCGAAAAATATATATATAGGTAAGAAACTTAGGTACAGACATTAACAACAGAATTTATACACACACACACACACATCCATTATCTCAGGCTAATCATTTAACATCTCTGTTTTCTCCTCCCTTCGGTGAGGATGAATAATTCCACTCTATAGAATCGTTAAGCAAATTAAGTGGGATCACTGAGGGGGCTCAGAGTAGTTAGTGCTCAAGCTATAGTGTAAGCTATGATTACAAATGTCTGGTTATTCAAAAAGGTTACACCACCCTGCCAATTAGCAATCACTACAGTCATCAGAAACAACCTACAGTCAGCCACCAGGCTGGGAAACAAGTGGGTTTCCTAGAAGACAGAAACCAAGAAACAAGAAAGCCTAGAAAGAGTCAAACGGGGGAGCGTGTCTCCAACAGAGGTGTGTAACTGAACAGTGAGGTATTCAGTTAGCAAACGAGCTCTGTGACGGAAGTGTGTCCAAAAATAATGACGAAGTCAGGCAGAATTCCGTCACAGCATAGGAGTGCTTCCTGGCATAATGTGTTTAGTTTTCAAAGTGTGTAAGAAAATAGTCCAGGGATGTTCTAATCCCCAAGGCTCACTCTGTAGCCCAGGCTGTGGTCAAATTCTTGATTCTCCTGCCTCTGCCTTCCAAGTGCTGGGGATTACATGGGCATGCCAGCACAGCTAGCTTTCTAAGTTTTCGGTCTTGGGTGGCACTGGGATTCAAACCCAGGGTCTTGTGCATCCCAGGCAAGCACTCTACCACTGACCTATCTGCTGACCCCTTCCAATTTCTTTCGGGGTCTTTCTTTCTTTTTCTTTTTCTTTTTTTTTGTCTAATCCTGGGAGGAAAGATGCATGTTTCCCGGGTTTCCTGGATGAGGGAGATTGAGGCGTTTGCTCAGATCCTGCCTCGTGTCCCTCAGCCCAGCATCCTACCTGGCTGTGGTGGATTTTTACAGATGGTGTCAGAGTCGTGGGTGCCTGGAGCTACTTCCACCAGACCCTGGTCCTCACACCTGTGGAGGAAACAGGACTCTGAGCTCTCCCTGCTCCCTTGGTTGCCCAGCTCCGGGAACACACAGTGGGGGAACGGCCAGGTGAACACAGGGAGTCAAGATGGAGGGGATGACAACCTTTGGACTTCCTGGAGTGGGGGAGGGGCTTGGGAAGGGGCACTCTCACCTGGTATGGGGTTGGCAGCGGGCTCTGAGGGAGGAGGTGTTCTGGAAGTGTCCTGGCTTGCAGGGGACACAGCTGATGCCAGTATCCGTAAGCTCATCTGGCAAAAGAAAGGCCAGTCATCGTGAGTGGACAAGTGTGAGCCCAGCAGGGGGCTTCCTCTACGCCTCCTCCTTGCCAACCAATCTGTACTAGAGCTGTTACCTTCCCCAAGCTTGGCTTTGCAGCCTGCCATTTTGCCCAAGCTTCCCCAGGGCTGACAGGATCCACCTTCAGAGCTCCTCACACCAGTCCCAATTCAAGTCTTGCAGACCCCCTCCTGTGAGCCCTTTGCATGAAACGATAGGTATTTTATGCCAAAGAGGAACCACGCACACAGCACTATGCTCCTTGCCCTGGACTCCCAGCCACCTTCCACTGGCTGCCTTCAGTGACCTCTGACCTGTAACCTCAGCTTCCGTGCCAGGTGGGCAGTTTACAAATTCGCAGTGAACACACTCATTGGCCGAATACAACACACAGGTCATCCCTGGCTTACAGCGGCACTCGGGTTTCCGGTCACTGGCGCAAGGGGCGACCTCCTCAAAGCCCAGCACTGGTAGGGAGAGGGAAGAGTCAGGGAGGAGCTGGGGTCCCCAGCATTACCCATCATCCAGGTGCGTCCCCACTCACCAGAGTCACAGGGGCGGCACACCTGGCAGATGCTGAGATGGTTCCAGTGTTCATTGTAGTAATTTGGGGCGCAAGTCTGGCAAGCTGTGTCTTCGTTGGGGCTGCATACAGCAGAGACAAACTTGCCTGTGAGGCGAGCGAGGCAAGAGGGCTATCAGGAGACGAGGAGTTTTAATCCCTGTCTATTCCTGTCCCTGCTGCTTGCTGCAAGCCGTGGAGTCTGCCTGGCCTTGGCTTGTCATCCTGCCTTCATGGCTCCGCAGCTACCTCTTCAAATCTCAGTACCCGTGTGCCCATGGCTAGTGCTTCTCCGTTTTCCCAGCGTTCGTGTCACTCTGACCCACCACGTAGGCTTCCTAGGACTGTTCTCACCTGGGGGGCAGCGAGAGCAGCAGATGTGATGATTGGGCTCGTAGTATTCCTTGTCCTGGTCCCAGCATGTTTGGTTTTCAATGCGATATGGGGGCACCTTCCAGGGGAGGCGGAGACAGAGAAGAATGAGGCAGGGACAGCTCTGGAGGACAGTAGGGCTACACAGAAGCCTGCCCAGGCCCCTTTTCCCACTTGGCCCATCCCACCCAGCCCCTCCCTCACCGGCTGGGGCTGAGTTGCCACCAGGAGCCCGCAGAGTCCCAGCAGGAGTGGCCCCCAGGCCAGGCCGCGGGGAGAGGAGGCCGTAGGCAGGCGCATGGCGGCCTTTCGGGGTCGGCTGACCAGATCGGGTGGAGGCCTGGGAGGAAGGTGGGAAGCCCGGACGTCCTGAGCAGCGGTGGCCACGACTTCCCAAGCCTGGCGGCTGGGCCGACGTGCCCCCCGGGGGCCGGGAGCGGCCGGGCCTGGCCTCCAGGGCTCCAGCGCCGGGCTCAGGAAGTGGGAGTGGAGAGAGCCGGCCGGGGGCGGGGGCAGGGAGCTCTGGGAGCAGAGACCGGCCTGTCGCAATCGCGACGGGGGGAAGAGGAACAGGCTTGGCCGCCTCGACGCAGGGCGGGAGGGGGTGTCCGGGAAAGCACGTGAGAGCTGCGAGCCCGGAACCCGGCCTCCACCTTTCTTCGGAAGCCTGGCCCCCAAAGGGGCGGCGGATCAAGACCACCCCCTGGTGGAATGGGGGGCGCGCAGAGCCAGGGCCTGACCTCCAAGAACCTAGGGCAAAGCTGACCTGGGAACACATGCTTGTTGAAGCAGAGCAGTGGACTGCTGGGTGCCAGATTTGCAATGCGGAGCCTGCAGGGATTTGGCAGTGCACCCGGCTGAGACACCCAGAGGTCCCCAGGAGTTGTAGCATCTGGTCAGTCACCCGACTTGTCAGAGACCGAGGGCCTGCCCCACTCTGACTTTTTAAAGAAAAGTTAACACAGTAACAAGCCACCAGGCCTCCATCTCACTGGCCCACCCACACTACGCACTGGTGGGCACACAGGACACAGTGAACCAGTCCTTCTGTTCTCTGGGAACCTCTTTCGACGGGATAATAGGGGGAAATGTGGAAGCCCAGGCCCCGATGAGTGGGGACCTCTGGGCTGGGGCTGGATAGCCCAGTTCCAGCATGTGTGCCCATAAGCCTGTTACTCTGTAAACAGGGGGACCTAAGAGCCCAGCCACCTTATCTTCTGGAGAAAACCTGCTCAGGATGCCAGGGACCCAGAGGATTGCGGGGCTCCAAGGTTGTTCAGCCTGGTGGCCCGCCATTAATAGCCCAGAGCTGCTTGTAGTTGTGTGCCACCTTCTTTCCCTCTTCCACCTGTTGCTGCTTCCCAACCCCCTCACCCGTCCCACTCTCCACGCCTCCAGGAAGCAGCCACAGAGCCCCCAGCGACTGTCTGCCTCATGCTGCTTGTCCGTTCCCTACTGGGCTGTGGGCTGGCCTGTGGCCTGGTTTGGATATTATGTCTGAGCTGGCAGAGTTTAGCATGATCTGGCTTAAGCCACATGGTACTCACGGAATAAATGAAGGCTGTCCACAGCGCTTAGCCACTCTGGCAGAATCTACCTGCAGTCCAGATCTACAGTCAGCATCTGCCCCGCCTCCTTGTGACTCGGGGGAGTCTCCTTTGGGAGGAGGGGAAGTCTTCTCTTGCTCTAGCTCACCCGACAACTGGCTTTCCTTGGTGGATAGGATATCCAAACAGGCTTTCCTTGGAGATGCTGGCGCAGCGGTGTGTCTTAGAAAAGACTGAGGGGTCCTGCCTCGGTAGGCCAGCAGCTTCAGTGCTAGAAACTGCCTGCACATCAATAGGCCAAGACCAAGGCCACCTGACAAGGGTAGAGATATCTGAATAGCAGACCTGCTCTGGTTTCTTTTCTTTCTGGTCCCAAGGAGTTGGTCAGGGTCTAGACTCACCCAGATCTCTTAAGAACATAAAGGAACAGCTGGGCAGCAGCTTTACATAATTTTCACCATTTCTTCTTTTTATGTTTTATTAGGGAAAGGTCACATGTACTGTCTAAAAAAGAGAGCAAGGAGTATTCTGATCCACTATGTTGTCATTACCTAGCTTTAACTTGTGGCCAGTCTTTCTTCTTCATATAGTATGTGTATCTTTTGTTGTTGTCTGAGACAGGGTTTCTCTGTGTAGCCCTGGCCAGAGCTCTGCCTCCCAAGTGCTGGGATTAAAGGCGTGCACCAGAACCATCTGTCAGTATGTGTATTTTTTTTTTTTAAAGATTTATAAATGTTCTGCCTGCACATATGGCTTTGCGCCAGAAGAGGGCACCAGATCTCATTATAGATAGTTATGAGCCGCCATGTGGTTGCTGGGACTTGAACTCAGGACCTCTGGAAGAATAGACAGTGCTCCTAACCTCTGAGCCATCTCTCCAGCCCCTCAGTATGTGTATTTTAAGGTTTATGAGTCTTCACATACAGATTAGTGGATTCTCACTTAATTTGTTATCGCTTGTTTATGTGTATGTTTTTGTAGTAAGGATGTGAGTGTGGACATTTTCTGAGGTACGGAGACTCAGGTAACCTCCTGGCAGCCTATAGGGACTGTGGATAGACAACTCACTAGAAAATGGTTATTATGATGCCTCTCCAACCTTCTTCTGAAGGGTGGAACCTCGGGGGTGAGAGATCTTCAAATTCTTAGTGAGCACAGCATTGTCTTTGCCTCTTGTGCTTTTTACCAGCTTCCAGAAACTTTTAACTGTGTCCATTGGGCAATACCAGATGGGGGCTGAGTGCCCCACAGACTCCCAGATTGCATGAAGGGCTCTTCTCCCAGGCTTCCTTCAGAGATCACTGAAACATCCTTCTCCCCATAGCCGACGAGCAATCCAATGAGAATAGCTGTCAGTGGGTCAGTCTAAACCCTCCTGTTTCTTCCTTATATTTCTCTTCATCGGCTGATGCTCTCAGCACACCAGGGAACAGACATAACAGATGAGAGGTGGCCTTCTCTGGAGTGTTTGGAATTTCAGTGGGATCAAAGCCTTGCCCAGTTATTGTCAATCCTGGTAGGCTTGCTCCCCAAAGACATTTGGAAATAAGCTGAAGACATTTTAGGTTGCAACTGCTTGGAATTGCCACAGTAACCCAGTGCGCAGCGGCCAGGGATGTTGTTGTGATCTGCTGTGCCGTACAGGAATCGCCTGGCTGGGAAAGCCAGCAGTGCCTGAATTGTTAAGCCCTGTACTAACCAAAGGGACACATCTCTAATGGGAAACTTCTAAGCATCTTTCCAGGTCACTAAATTGAGGATAGCATAGAGAAATTTTCTGGTCCATCATGTTGGATTTAAACTCCATAAAGGAAGATTAAAAGATGCTATTTGCCATAGTAGGCAGCCCTGTAGTTAAGGCTTATCTAAGAGTAAAGGGGTACATTTAAGTGGGTGACTCATTTGTACCATAGAAACCTTAAAGGTTGAAAAGGAAAAAGTAGAGGAAATTTTGATAAACCAGACCACAAACCAATGTGCTTTCTGAGGACGTCAAGATGTTTGATGTTTTCCCAGTGCACACACCTCTCTGTCAAAGACAAACCTTGGATCCCAGCCAAGATGTGAAATTCTATTGTCTGCCAGAGTGGCTGGACAAGTAGTGGCCAGTACGTTGGGCATGGTGGTATACGTTTGTAACTTCAGCACTTGGAGGATGAGGTAGGAGGACTGGGAATTTGAGAGCAGCCTGAGCCACAGAGGGAGTGTCTCAGAAACAAAACGAAACAGAAATAGTAGCCACCAGTCGCCAAAGTTACCAAGCTAAGTAAGCCTGGTGCTTGTCCTCAGAGAACTTATAATATGATCTACACACATGTAGCATGTACACATAAACACAGGTGCATATGTGGGCCAGTTCACTAGAGTAAACATCAGGAGGTGTTGAGAATGGCTTTCGTTGGGACTGTGGAGGGGAAAGGGATTCCTTCCAGTCAGCCATCTCTGGAATGAAGAGGCAGGAAGACCTGTGCATCCTAATGCTCGCCCCACTGCAGACCCTCAAGTTCATTTCTTTTCCTAGAGCCACCGCACAGATTATGGTAGGTGGCTGGTGGTGGGCTGTGAAGGCAGCCCCTTATTTAAGGGATGGCTTGGGGCTCTGGGAGAGGCCACAGGAAGCCCTGGGAAGGGAGTCTTTCTCAGGCAAGGTAAAACATGCCCCTGACATGCTACACAAGACTCTACCATTCTGGAAGTCAGGAAAGCAGCCTCAGACTTGGGAAACAACTCACCCCAACTTCTGGGTGGCTCTGACACTTTGTTCTCAGGTCTTAGCTCCCCCATGTACTCAGCAGAGGGTTAGACCTTACCCACCACTTTCTGCTCCTTCATTCTTTAAATAATAGCCCTGAAGCCCAGAAAGGTAAAAATGTCCATTTGTTTTTTGTTGTTATTATTTTGTGTGTTTTTTTTTGTTGTTGTTGTTGTTTTGTCCTTCCATCCTTCTGTTTTTCCTTCCTTTTTGTTTTTGTTCTTGAAACAGGGTCTCATTATGTAGCTTTGGCTGTCCTAGCACTCACTGTTGTAGACCAGGCTGGCCTTGAACTCATAGAGATCCACCTGCTTCTCAAGTACTGGGATTAAAGGATATAGCACTATACCTGGCTTAAAAAGGCCTTTTCAAAGACAAAACAGTTTAAAAATAAAAATGGAAGTCATAGAGTAATACCTATGATGTGGTCGCACTTATGAGTTTGTTTGTTTGTTTGTTTTTAACTTTTTGGAAAAATGTAAACTGGCATGGTGTAACTATCTGTAACTATAATGCTTAGGAAGGTGAAGCAGCAGGATCATGAATTCAAATCCAGCCTAGGTTATAAAGCAAGTTTAAGGTCAGTTATACATTGGAACCCTGTCTCAACATAGAGCACAACAAAACATAAAAGTTGAAAAAATACCCAGAAAGAGATGGATTGGTGAACAAGTCATAGTGGGTCCTTTTGGGCTGGAGGGAAGGAAAGAAATGGGACACCAGGAAGCTTTTATTGTTTCATGAACTTCTGCATTTCTGGGAAACTACACTGTGACAAAAATGTGTGCCTCAGCACTTGGAGAGCTGAGACAGGAGCACTAATGTGAGTTCCAGGCCAGCCTGGGCTACAGAAGAATCCCCTGGTTTGGGGGGGAAAGTATGTGCACATGTATAAGTGTTTGCATGTATGTATGTGTGCATACATGTTGTTTCATGTATGTGTGTGTGTGATATTTCAAATGGGGCTCTGAGCAAAGGGCAGGCCTCAGGTGTCTATTCCTACAACAGGCTAGCGCTGGCCCGTTCCAGCTCTCTAGTACTGTGGTCTGCAAGCCAAGCCACTCTCTTGTACTCTGTCAGGACATGCCACGGTCAGTACACTCTTTGGGCCAGGCATTCTCACAGAGTCCTTGAGATGAAAACTATTTGTCATGCTGCCCTAAGCCAGTACTTGGGTTTCAGGTCCAGCTAGCAAACAGAAGAAGCAGGGAGGGGCCAGCTTCTCAGAACCTCACAGATCAAACAGTCAGGGGAAGCCGGCACCTTGCCTGTAGGACGCTCCCTCGTTTAAGGACTTGATTCAAGGGGGGATAGAGTTTCTAGGGGTGGCCGGTGATACGGAGAGGTGGGAAGAGTTCAGAGACACAGAGCCAAGGAGACAGCACTTCGAGAGCTGGTGAATCAATGGGCTTTCTGACTGTCCTGGGGTCTGGTTCCCCAGCGGGTCTATGGCTGGTCTGTCTCAGAAGATAAATGACAAGAGGCAACCTCAGAGGAGAAGATTTTTGAATTCTCTTTATAACTGCTGCTGTGTTGCTTTGTGAAGTCAGAAAACTGCTTCGTTGTTTTGGAGGGTCAGTTTCTTCCACTGAAAAATAAAGAGCAAGCCAGCCTCCCTCCTCTTATGGGAGGTTTCATGAATGTGTGTCAAGGTGTCTGTCAAACAGCTTAGCTAGCAGGTGGACCCCCTGATTGACAGGCTCTCGTTTGAAGAATGAGATGAGCTGGGAGGGGACCCTCTCATTTGTCTGGCAAATGCCTTGTTTTTCAAGACTCAGCTGTAATGCCAGGCTCCAGGGTCACTTGAAATGCATCCCTTCTCTTGCCTTCCCCACGTTCCCACAGCCCCTGGTTCTTATCTCTGCCTCCAGAATCCTTATCTCGCTATATTTCAGCTACTTGTTATGCAGGCCTATTTCTTTCCATGAGCCTCTATGGCTGCTTAGGTTTGTGTCTGTAGGGCTGGGGCATGGAGAACACCTGTGCCCACTACTGCTGGAGAGAAGGTATATGATAGGAAGAGCCAGTGAGCACCTGGGCCATTTGTGGCTGCCCTCTACATAGTTCCAGTGAGGATATCCCCCGCAAGCTGTGTAGGGCTTGGACCGGCTCTCCTGTGGCTCCTCACACCTTCTTGGGGTCTGAGCCTTTGAGGCTTCCAAACCTGTGCGGTCACCGCTTGATGCTTGCACCTCTCTCTTCTAGCTGGGTTAGATTAAGGGAGATTTTGGAGAAAAGCACAGCCTGGATGAAGTAACTTCTAGGACCGAGTGCTCTCTTCCCTTGACCCAGATCCCAGTATGGCACAGCTCTTGTTCTCTCCCAGGGTCTGTCACCCCTGCCTGTCCCCGGGCTCTTGCTTTGTGCCCACAGAGCTCTGCCTGGCCCCCATGCACACATTACCTCTGGTGCCTACATTCCTGCAACCCTGTGACCACAACAGGGGACATTACACATTCCTAGCCTATCAGCCAATGGTGTCAAAAAGAACAGAATGTCCTAGGACCTGGCCCAGCCCCCTACTTCACCTGGGCCCCTCCCAGGCCTGGACAGGACAAGGTAGGTGGGGTGAGGAGTTCAGAGGGAAAAGATAAGAAAGACTGAGGGGCCATCAGGGGCTCCCAGTTTTGGAGGGGCCCATTCTGTTTTCTCCAGGATCCTGGGTGTAAGGCAAACCTGGGATGATCTTGAGGAAGCCCAATCAGATGAGACCCTAGTTTCTGGAAGTCCACTTAAGTTTCTTCCCCCTGGCTACCTTGCCTGACAGGAGAGTCCCTTTGGGGCTGGTTCTCTCCTCTTCCTCCTCGGTCTGTCTCCTTTTTCTGCCTTCCCTGTTCTCCTTGTTTCCCCACCTGTTCTCAGTCATCCTCCTTCCGCTGTTGCCTTCCTGGCTTTGTGTAGAATCCTTCCTCCCTGCCCAAGTTCTCTAAGCCTCATGGGTCTTCTGTCCCTAGTCTCCTTCGCAGTCAATTCCCCATCAACCCCTGGCCAAAACTCTGCTGCAGGTACTTGGTTCACCTGTCCGCAAGAGCCCTCCTCCCTGGACAGCTCCCAGACCAAGACTCCTCCTCCCACCCTCCCTCTGCCCTGCTCACCTTTAATTGAGATGCTAATGAGGCTTCTGTCTCCCATCCCTGGCCGAAGGGCGGGCGGGCTCCGCGGCCAGGCACTGCACCTGTCAGGTGAGAGGGTGGAGAGGCTCTACTGCCAGATTCAACTGGAAAGAAACCAGTCACAGCCCAGCCACACCTGGGAGCTGGGAGCAGAAGGCAGCTCAGGCCTCCTGTAGCCCTGCAGTCCCTGGGGCAGAGAAGGAGGGAGCAGGGAGCTGGAGGCCAGGGCTAGAGCTCAGAGAAGAGGACCTAGGAGGAGATAGGGAAGGCAGGGGAGGAAGTGAGGCGGGATCAGAGGGCCTGGCACAGAGAGGGAGACCCAAAGAGAAGCAGGAGGCAGCTGGGCCAAGAGGGCGTGAAAGCTGGAGCCAGTCACACACTGTCCGGGAGGAAAAGGGCAAGAGGGAGAGAGAGGCGCTAAGCCAGGCTGCCTGCCTGCTGTGGAGAGTCCAGGAGGTGCTACCCGGCAAAGGGAGGTGGCCTTCGCTGTGAAGCTTCGTGGCTACCCCAGTGACGCTCAGTGCTGCCTGGCTGACCCCAACTCCAGAAGGTCAGCTGGCTCCTGGAAGGGTGGAGGAGGGTGGGAGGATTGGGGAGAGTGGACTCAGCTTGTGATGCGGGCACGGTCAGGGGCAAGCCCCATTCTGCCCTCATAGCAATGATGTTGGAACGCACCAGAGCCCCCAAGCTCAACCTTGACCTGGACTCTCACCTCCCCAACTCACCTAAGGGCTCCATGAAGGACGACAAGTTCAAGGAACAAGACCCTTGTCCTCCTCAGTCCATGCGAGGGACGGGGAAAGGAGACAAGCATGAAGAAGGGGAGCCAGGCCCCGAACCCTCAGCTCCCCCGCAGCCCACGGAGGAGGAAGAGGCACTAATCGAGTTCCACCGCTCCTACCGAGAGCTCTTCCAGTTCTTCTGCAACAATACCACCATCCACGGCGCCATCCGCCTGGTCTGCTCCAAGCACAACCGCATGAAGACAGCCTTCTGGGCAGTGCTGTGGCTCTGTACCTTCGGCATGATGTACTGGCAATTCGCCCTGCTGTTTGAGGAGTACTTCAGCTACCCCGTGAGCCTCAACATCAACCTCAATTCAGACAAGCTAGTCTTCCCCGCCGTTACTGTCTGCACCCTTAACCCCTACAGGTCAGTCTGCCCTGTGCCATTGTATGGGTACCATGGGTTTGGGGGTTGGGGGGGGAGAGGGGGTGGCTCAGCGGTGGAGCATGTGCCTAGCGCACACGAGGCCCGGACTGCCACACTCTGAAAAGCAAGGAAGCCCGAGAGCAAACGAAGGTGGTGATGGAGCTGGGGCTTCCAGGCAGGTGAGCCGAGGTCAAGGCTTGGCTGGTGCTGTGGAGGTGGATAAGATCTTTGGGTAGAAGGGGGAGTTTGTTGTGCTGTGGCCACGTGGGGGCAGGATGAAGGGTAGGAGGGTGGAATGGCAAAGAGACTTCAGCTGTCCCCGAAGTCTCGGGCTGATGTCTGCAGGGGATCCCCGCTCAGCTTCACCAGCCAACTGCCCAGATCTAAGGGCTTCGGTGTGTTCTGAAGTGTGGGTTTTCATCCATGTCCTTTGTCGGTTTGGGTCTGGAAACTGGGCTGTTACCGAGGAGAAGAGGAGGGCAGAGGGCTGGGTTACGGCAGACACTGAAAACTTAGGTCATGCCAGACTGTGCTAGGCACCCGGCAGGAGAGGATCGCTGCTAATCCAGCCAGCTTTATTGAGGGCCAGGTACTCTACTAGGTACTGGAGACAGAAAGCCAAACAGAGGTGGAAGAGGTAGGCGTGTAAACAAATACTGCAGCACACACCGTGATTAGTACAATAAAAACTCCAGGCTGGTCTGCCTTCCAGGAGTGGAAGGTCTCTTAGGAGTGTCTGAATGAGGGTGAATGTGTGTGAGCACACACAGCAGGAATGCAGCCTCTTATGGATGGACGGGATTGGTCACATGCTGTGGGCAGAGACTCCCTCAGGTAGCCTGTCATGTCCAAAGATGTGTCATGAGTTAACAAAGGTTGGGAAGTCCTGTTCCGGAGAGGAAAAACTGCCCCCATACAATGAAGTGAGTGAGCACAGTAGGGGTCACTCGAACATAGCAGGGGGTCACTTAACTGAAGCTGAACACACCACCTTCGGACTCCCCTGCATCTTCCTCCTGTCATTCTCAAAGTCTTGGGGCAGCGACCAGTATTATCCTGGTTTTATGTAGAGGAAACTGAGGCCAAGAAGCCAAGGCAAGTCAACAAGGTCACCGATACTGACAGGATCCTGATTCACCCTTGTTCGTTTGATCCTCAAACTTGCTTTGCCTCCTACTGAAGAGGTGGGACTTGGCATAAGTGAAGTTTCCGATCGCTTGTTTGACCTTCATTTCAGGGCTTGTTGGAAGGACAGTTCTTTCCCTTCGCCTCATTTTCCTGCAGGGTTCTCAGCCCTTCCTCACCTTAGGCCAGGCAGGGTGGGGGACAGAAAAGGCAGAAAGTGCTGGCAGGGGAGGCGCCAGGGCCTGGAAGTAGGTTGCAGGCACTCAATAAATATTTGTGGTCACAAAGATGAGTGTGACTAGTGTGAGTCTGTCAAGGGCTGCATATTTTCTAAGGTTCTGCTGGGTGCATGGCCCTGGACAGGCCAGGATAAAACACCAGGGAGTGGACATCACACTGCCTAGGGGCCCCCCAACCCCGGAAGCAGCTGTCTATACAGATGTCCCTCTTACTGGAAGGTGGCTGTGGAGGAGGCAGGAAGAGGACACACAGGAGGGAGGGAGGAGCTAGAGGAGGGCTCCCAAATATAGGAGGAAACGTACGTACGACCCACTATGTACTTGACTCATTGTTGGGTGTTTTTTAAGCACCAGCTCCTTGCAAAATCTAGAGAGGTGGGCATTTTTTAATATAGTTCCTTTGTTGCTTTCTTTTCTTTTCTTTTCTGACAAAATCTTGATACAGTCCAGGCTGGCCTTGAACTCCTAGGAGCACAGGGCACTTGCTATAACACCTGTGTTATTTCCAGTTTTCAGATGAGGATAATTGGTGCTCACCAAGGTGAAATTAGCTGTACAGCTAATAATGAAGAAAAACCACAGTAGCAATGGCTAATAACATAGTATGTCCCAGATGGTTTTCCAGAGGAATCTAAATCTAAATGAAATCCTATTAAATGGTCCAGCTGTGGTGGCTTACACTTTTAACCCCAATACTCTGGAAGCAGAGGCAGGCAGATCTCTGTGAGCTACAGGCCAGCCTGGTCTACATAGGCTAGCTAGAGCTACATAGCGTTAGCTATCCCCAAAAGACCCAGAGAGATAAACTCAGGCAGATAGCAAGTGGTGAAACCGGGATGCAAAAATCACTTTCAACTAAGGGCTAGTGCCGCTCGGGTTAGCGGTCAAGTTGCAGATTAAGTGTAACGTCACAGCTCCCTCTCATACGACAGCCAGGCTTTCCAAAGTGGGACAGCTGGTAGGAGCCCAGCAGGAAGAGAAGCAGAATGAAGGGGATTCCTGGCTAGGAGTGCAGGGGGAGCCAAGGCCAGTGAGAGGCAGAGGCAGCAGACAGGCTGGGGCAGCCTGGTGGTTGTTGACCTGAGTGTGAATCGTGGCTGTTGGCAGAGGGAGGGGCTTGAGAGGAGGATAGCATAGAGGATCCAGTTGCCAAAGAGAGCCTGGAGTAGATGGGAGTTACACTGGGCTGTCGACGTGCTGAAGGGCACAGCCAGCAGAGTTCTGAAAGGAGGTGGTCCTGACTGCAGCGCTGCGACGCTTTACAGTTTTTAGTCCCTCGAAGGAGCGTGCCTGTTGTCACCACATCACGGGGAAAGAGAGCCCCCAAACATATCCGAAACTTAGGGCTGGATGTAAGGAAGAACTTCTGGCCGTCAGGAAGTAAGGACAGGAGAATCAGAGGTTTTAGGTGAGTTTAGCCCTGAGTACAATTTGAGTTTGGGGCTGGATAGGCTACATGAGGTTCTTGGCTAACCACAACAAAATCAAACCAAGGAAGAACATGGAGCTTTTGAGCAGTGAAGACCATGGGCTTGTCTTTTCTGCAGATGGCAGAGCAAGGGGCCTGGCAGCAAGAGTGGGCAAAGAGAGGACTGATTGCTAATTTCAACCCCTCCTTGGCTAGGAGTAGTGGAAAACTCAAGAACTATGGGGTCCAAGAAGCCCAGGTGCAAAGCTGTTCAAAGCTCAGTATTTCCCAGATGAGTGACCCTAGGATAGTCATGCCTAGCGTGACTGCCTCAGTTTCCCGAGTTGTGGAATGAAGAAGTAAGGTCTGATGGAATTGGATTGAGCCAGCGGGGAGTTCACCCACCTCCCACAGTTGGGTTGCCTGGCAGATAGACAGGAGTGAGGGCAATGAGCATGGCCCAGGAAGGAAGTCAAGGCCACATGGGGTGAACCATCGAGCTAGCATCCCATCGGAGGTGTCTTGGCGCCTTTGTCCAGCTCCTTGTTTCAGGACAAGACCTGAGTGTTTTACTGTGCTTTGCTCAGTAGTCAGTTCTCTCAGCACTGGTGCCAACCAACGGCTCTGACTCCTGTCAGACAAAAGGAGAAAAGTGTCCTTGGGGTCAGAAAGACCCCTGCATGGAACCTTGCTTCTGGAGGCTTTGTCCTAGGCACAGGGATCAAGGGTTGGGAGACCAGACTGTTGGGTGTGTGTTCATGGGCACCCGGTCCAGAGAGGCACAGGGAGGCTGCGTGCCTGGATTGTCACCGAGAAGAATTTGGTTCAGGGATGACATAGGCTCCGTGGGGAAAGATTTGATGAAGGCATAGATGTGGCAATGAGGTGATGAGGAAAAGGGTAATTCCAGCAGAGCTGGGGACTTGGGTTCTTCCTGCATGACTTTGAGAAAGTGAAGTAACACTTTTCTGGATGCCAGCCTCCTGTCTATGTCTTCCTGAAGCCTGGCCATCTTCACTCTGTGTCCCTAAGTGTTTCCTCACGTCAGCTTTCCAGGACTTTATGTGACAGGCTGACACTTACTGCTGTGCCCATTCTACAGATGGGTAGTCAAGGCTGGGAACCACAGAGGTTGGATTCCTTATCCGACATTACATACCCTTCCAGCAGGGGGCAGTGTGTATGAGCGTGCGTGTGGCCTTTCTGGGACAGACAAGAGGACACTGAAGATTGGAGCACATTCTGACCCATGTCCTGGCCATATTGTTTTGGAAAAAGGCATGACAGTGGTATTAGCCCAGATTGCTGAGCAGTACATGTGACAGATATACCTGGCTCCTTGAGAAGTGCTTATACTGGCTGGTATGGCCATTCTTGGAATCATAAATCAGTCTCCCAGAAGGAGACACACACCTTGGACCTGGGCTGTTTTCTCCGGTGAGGGGATGAGAGACTGGCTACAAAAAGGGAATGCCTAGGGTCTAGCCAGCTGGCCTTTCAGGATGAAAATAGATCCAAAGGAGCGAATTGTGAAGCTCTGACCTGGGCAGTGGAACCTTAGGACCATGGATGAGATTTTTAAATAGCCTTGGGCTGCAGGTGTGTCTCAGTGGTAGAGAGGTGGAGGAAGGGCCTAGCATTTGTAAGGTCCTGGGTTTGATCCTGGGGACCAAAAAAGCAAACAAAACAAAACACTGTCTGTGTCAGACCCCAGATGTACTAACCCTAGATCTCTGGATCTTCTTTTCCTTTTTGACAGTGTCTTACCATGTAGCCCTGGCTGCCCTGGAACTCATTGTGTAGACCAGGCTGGCCTCGAACTCACAGAGATCCGCCTGCCTCTGCCTCCCAAGTGCTGGGATTAAAGGTGTGTTCTACCATACCTGACTCTTGAATTTTTCTTTCAGTGACATTTAATAGTCAAGATATAGGGCATTTCCAGCAAACTGTTCTTACATATATATTATTATGTTATATATTAATATATTACGATAATATATTAATATGTTGTATATGTATTGGTCTCACTACGTAGCCCTGGATGACTTGGAAATCACTATGTACATCACGTTGGCCTAGAACTCGCCAAAGATCTGCCTGCCTCTGCCTCCCCAGTGCTTGGGTTAAAGAAGTGTGCTATCATGCCTGGCACAGCAAATATTTTTAAAATTATTCTTATTATCATTATATTTCAAGTGTATAGGGTAGGTATTTTGCTTGAATGTATGTCTTTGCACCATGTGCATGGAATGCCTGTGAAGGCCAAAAGGGGATGAATCCCGTAGAATTGAAGTTATGATTGTAAGCCACCATGTGGTTGCTGAGAATTGAACCCAGATCCTCTGGAAGAGCAGCCATTACTCTTAGCCTCTGAGACATCCCTCCAGCCCCCTTTACAGTAAATATTGAGCCCGGGTAATGTAATCCTCCAGCTTTTTTACTTCCCACAACTGTTTTGGCCACAGCAAGTTCTTTGCAGGCGTTGTGGCATGTACCTGCAAGCTCAGCTTGCCAAGGCAGGAAGATTTCAAGTCTGAAGTGAGCCTGAGCGTCATAACTTTTTGCATTTCCACAGAAATCTTAGAACCACCTGCCACTTCCTTTTAGAATGTTTGCTGAATTTGGGGTCTGGATTGTGTGTAATCTAAAAATCAAGTTGGGAGACATGAATGAGCAGCTGTGTTTTGGCACTTGGTCTTAAACAGGGCTTCAGATAAGACATCTTGCTTATCTTTCATCAGATTTACTCCTAAATTTATTTTTTTTTATTTTAAGACGTTATTTTAAGAATATATTTACTTTTATTTGTATGTGAGTACATGCCACACGCGTGAGTGTGGCTGGAGGCCAGAAGAGGGGATCAGATTTCCCTGGAACTGGGGTTACAGCAGTTGTGAACACTCCAGTGTGGGTGTTCTGGAACTCAGTATGCAGACCAGGCTGACCTCGATCTCAGAGACCTGCCTGTCTCTGCCTCCCAAGGGCTGGGATTAAAGGCATACTCCACCCTTACCTCCCCAACCAGCGGAAGATTGTTCTTAACCACAGAGCCATCTCCCCAGCCCCAGTGTGGAGTCACTTTCCCTTTCCTTGTTGCTAGATTTAGAAATGCAATTCGTATTTGTATACTGGTTTTGCACCTTGCAGGCTGGTTTAATTTGCCATCTCTGCTTTGATATTCTTAGGCTGTAATTCTAAGGCCAGCCATGTGGACGTCCATCTTGCAGATAGTGACACGACCAGTACTGAGAATGAGGAATGTAAGGATGCTTTTGGAACAGCGTTTGGGTCCCTCCCAAATTAAAGCGTAGTCCCTGGAGAAGGGGGAAGGGAGAGTACTCTATCTGGTATTTCTAGAGCAGTTCAGGGAGATTTCTGAAAGTGCGGTTGCTGAGAAGCCTCCATTTGAAGGTACATGTGACAGGTACTCTCCAAGGCCAACCTCCCCAACGGGGATGGGGCAGGACGACCTGAGCTACCAGGTCACGGTAACCAAGAGCTCCTCTATACCCGGCAATAAATGAAGTCTCCTACAGACACGGCTGTTTAACTCCCCTACTTCCAGACAGCTCTGGAGCCATCAAAGCGATCTCGGATGCCCTCGGATTCAGGCGGACCGCCCCGGACAGACCTCCTCCCCGTTGACTTTTTCAGATACAAAGAAATTAAGGAGGAGCTAGAAGAGCTAGACCGCATCACGGAACAGACGCTCTTTGACCTCTACAAATACAATTCCTCCCACACTCGCCAGCCCGGGGCCCGCCGCCGCAGCACCCGCGACCTCAGGGGCGCCCTCCCGCACCCCCTGCAGCGCCTACACTCGCCCTACCCAGCCCGCCCGGCGCGCAGCTCTTCCAGCGTTCGCGACAACAACCCGCAAGTGGACCGGAAAGACTGGAAGATCGGCTTCCAACTGGTAAGCCCCGCCCCTCCACCCAGGGCCCGCCCACGCTCCCCTCCTACGTCATGGCCCCGCCCACTCAGACTCAGAAGACCCTAAGGACTTAACAAGCAAGTTACACAAATACGTAAATAGATAACCGATGCAAAAGCAAACCCCGCAGCGTCCCCACCCACCAGCTTCCGGTGGACCTTCATTGCTGGCTGCTTGTGTAGCAGAGGATAAGTGTTAAGAAGTAAAATCTGTTGTAAAAAATACACATTTCTGAATTCTAGTCCTTACTGATAGGACTTAGTTGAGACCCTAAGACAGAGAACGGAGAATTGAGGTTCTTCAAGTCTATAACAGAGGATAAGTAAATGAGACACTTAGCAAAATGAGGTGTGTGTGTGTGTGTGTGTGTGTGTGTGTGTGTGTAAAACCCAGGGCCTTGCCTGTGGTTGGCAAGGGCTCTTCCGCTGAGCTCCATTCCCAGACCCTAAACATGTAGATTGAAAGGAAGCGTGGGAGGAAATAGGAGAGAGGGCCGTCTAGTGAAGGAGAACGTGAGGCCCTGGTGAGATGGACCATACCACCAGCACACTGGCGTTGAAGGCTCACTTCCGTTGTGGGAACCAACTTTTCGATCCCTGAGATTTCACACCAGTGAGTGGAGGAGAATTCTTGCTCCTCTTCCTGACTGGTTATGTAAGTAAATTACAATGAGGAGACACCGGCCGACCCCCATGATCCTTGGGCCAACTCTTCCAAGGGATTCTAGGAGCATTGTTTTCCCGTACCTACCTGCTCCTCGGCCCTTAGAATGATAAGCCCAGCTCTCAGTCTCTGAGCTTGGCAGCTCCCTGATGGGCACTGACATCCTGGTCTCTGTGCGCAGTGCAACCAGAACAAATCAGACTGCTTCTACCAGACGTACTCATCCGGGGTTGACGCAGTGCGGGAGTGGTACCGATTCCATTACATCAACATTCTGTCCAGACTGCCCGACACCTCCCCGTCCTTAGAGGAAGAAGCCTTGGGCAACTTCATCTTCACCTGTCGCTTCAACCAGGCCCCCTGCGACCAGGCGTGAGTAAGGCCCTGCTGGCTCAGTTGTTCCTCAGAATCTCCTTCCTGGGTCGTCCCGAGGACTCAGGAAATGCTTGTTGGTTAGAGGAGGAAATGTTTGAGGGTGGGGTAATGCAGGTGCACTAGCCTGAGGCCCAAGTCTGGGCCCGGCCTGTCATCCACAGACATTGGTGTGGTAAGATCCATGGGTGGAGAGCCAGCCCCACCTGAGTTCCCACTATGCCCTGTCTATTCTGGCCGGAGGGCTCTTTCCACATCACCTCCTTCTTCAGAACCTTTTCTTTGTAAAATGGAAGCAAATCAAAACCCAGGAAAAGAGGTTTCTGACGGGGCAGGCTGGGTGCCGGACCCTGCTGCAGGCCTGTGGGGTATATTATAGAAAATGTGTGTGTACATTTTTCACTCAAGTGATGAAGACGAACGATGCTGCTAATTCCTGTTTCTCGAGATGAAAAACACGAGGGCACTTTACACACTCCAGTTTTCTTGCACCGAGACAGGTGACGTGCATGCTGGCCTGAGGCTTCCCCACATCCCACTGTCCCTCAGGGACAGTTTCTGTCAGAGGTCACAGCCCCCTATTCAAGCTCTCTGAGAGCTGGTGGAAGGTGGCCTCCGGCCTCCTTACTCCCGCTTTCTCCCGTCTCCCTGCCTCTACCTCTCTGAGGAATGGTGCTGAAGCGATGTCTCTCTCCTCTGCAGGGGACCCATGTCACTGGAGAGTGGCAGCAAGGCCAGGTGTCACCTGCTTCTCATACACTCATACACTACCCATCACACAGCTCTCCGCCTGCCTGCACTCTTTGTTTGTTTAAGGATAACCGCTAGCAGCTGGGAAGTGAGGCGGCTAAGCTGGGGCAGCCGCACCTGTCACCAAGCCCCTCTGTCACCTTCCACTTGGAGTTTTTCTCCCAGTCCTCTCCCTTTGTCCACTCCGAGCTCTTGCCTCCCTGCCCAGCAGATCCACTATCCACCTTAGTCCTGGCATACAGGACCGTTCCTCAGCTCAGAACCCTACCCGTTCTCTCCAGGAAGGTAAAAAACGACCCTGTAAACTATCTAACGTTCTGCCTTCGGGTCCTTGCTTTTTCATTCTTCACAGGAGGTCTTTGTCCATTTCTGTTGCCACAACAGAAGACTTCAGACTGGTTAATGTACGAAGAAAAGAAGTTCAGTTCTTATAGTACTAGAGGTTGAGAAGTCCAGAAGCCTGGTGCCGGAACCTAGTGAGGGCTCCCATAACATAACAGGGAAAAAAAAAAAGGGAAGGGAAAGTGAGCGTGTGAAAGAGAAAGCAGGAAGGGCGGGCCTGGCTGTGTAATCGCCTGCCCTTAACGTCTTAGCTAACCCTCTCTAGAACTCTGTGGTAATGCTATGGATCCATTCATGAGGGTTTACCCTGTGACCCTATCTCTTTCTACTGGATTCCATCCCCAATGCACTGGGAAATAATTTTCCAGCACAAGAACTGAGAGACACAGTTAAAACACAGCAGGGGGCATTCCTTTGTTATATTGACTAAGTCAGTCCTGTTCAAAAGTCTCTGAAGTAGGGGCAGGAGAGAGGACTCAGCAGTTAAGAGCACTGGCTGCTCTTGAACAGGAGCCGGGTTCGGTTCCCCAGCACCCCCGTGCAGCTCATAGCGCTCCATAACTCCAGTTCCATGGGAATCTGACAACCCCTTGTGGCCTCCAGAGATACCAGGCATGTTGGAGGTGTACAGATAGACAGGCAGGCAAACCCCTCATTCACATTCGGTCACTACAGCGCAATCCTCAGCGGTCTCCTGAACTCCCTCAGCACGGCCTCCCGGACCTCTCCCTTCTCCTTCCTCCTGTCTTCTGGTTTCCTTTTTCCTTTTGTTTTTAGTTGTGAAGATCAAACCCAGGTCTCCACAGCATGCAGGCAGGTGCTCTATCACCGAGCTGCGTCCTCAGACATGATCTTTTCCTTAATAACGTGTAAACGTCTTCCTTTTCATATGTACCCTTTAGTGGTTTTTAGATATATTTAGAGTTGTGCGGCTGTTGCCATGGTCTAATCTTGGAACATTTTCCTCACCCACCCCCAAGAAACCCATTTACTTATTAGCAGTTCCCCGTTCCATCTCTCTCAAGCCCTGGGAACCACGACTCTGCCTTCTTGGACTGCTCTTTGCGACGATTTCATACAAGGGACGTAGTTCAGTGGTAGCACTTATTAGATTCTGGGATATGTGTGTGTGTGTGTGTGTGTGTGTGTGTATGTATGCATGTATGTGTATATATGGTCACCGGAGGCGTCTTTCACCTAGCATATGTTTTCCAGGTTTACGTATGCTGTAGCGTGTGTGAGAACTCATGTATGAGCAAGTAATACTGTGTTTATAGACATGGCACACCTTTGTGACATGGGCCATACCTGCTCTTTGGCCTTTATGAGTGACACTGATGTGGATGTCCCTGGGGGAGGGTTCGTACTGATGGCGTCTTCCTGTCTCTTGGGATGTACCTAGCTGCAGCGCTGGCTCGCATCGCTGGCTCGCACTTGAAGGCATTGCTGGGCTTCACCCAGGGGTTATATTCCCAGCAGCCGTCTGGGGGGGGGGGGTTCTAAGTTCTCCGAATCCTGCACTTGTTAATTGTCTGTCTTAACAACGAACTAACTGGCTAACTAAACTCTCTTTAGTTATTTGTATATGTGTATGTGGTGGGGGGCAGAGGACAATTTTCAGGAGTTGCTTCTCTGACTCTGACTTTGTCAACCAGGCTGGCCTCGAACTCACAGCCTCCCTCTGCCTGCCTGGGTGCTGGGATTACAGGTGTGCGCCACCATGCCCGGCTATGTAAGTGATATTGTGTGTCATAGGTCTTATTCTCTCTCTTCCTGAAATGCAGAATAAAACCTTCCTAAGCTCTGTGTTTAAGAGCCATCTGTGATGCTCCATCACAGCCACTGACTTCACCTTCTACATGCCATCCATTGCCTACTGCATTACACACTGCAATGTGCCCTTCTCCACTCCCAGTGAGAGGGAATCAGTGGCCCTTTAAGATAGAGCTCTCCCTCAGTCTCCCTGCACCCAGCCCATCTCTAGAAATGCTGCCCTCCTAGGGCAGCCTGAGGTGAGCGCCAGAGTTTCACATCCCCAAGCCCCCTTTGATTTTTAAAGCCGGCAGGATATCCCGGATCTTCTAGTTTTGCTCTCCTTGCTTTACAGATGAAGAGAACGGCCTTGGGAAATAAGGCTAGCTCCAGGCCACATGAACAGAGCCTCTGGTCTGCATCCCCTCTCACTTCCAGAGGCTCTGCTCATGTGGCCTCATTTTCCGCCTGTCCTGTTCCCACTGTCATCTCCCTGGTGACAGGAAGTGGAACAGGTCCCTTTTCCAGACATGGCTCTTAGAACCTGCCATTTGCTTCCAGTCAGTGTTTCTGCCACAGCAGCATGGCTGTGTAATTTTCTCCTTAATTCCCTGGCCTGTTACAGGCCGGCTAGCATTATTGGACCTGTTCATCTGAGAGACGCTGGTGTACAGAGGCCTCTGGAAAACACTTGGCTTCATTTCCTCCCGGTGCTCTGAACTTCCTCCCTTCAGCTCCGTGCTCCCTGTGGCTTTCCCTCCCTCCTCTAGTGCTGTTTTCCTCCATTCTCCATTTCCCTCCTTAATGCTCTCAATAATGGTTAGTTGTTATTATTTATTAAGGTTGCCTGTGTGCCAGGGACCATGCATCTGACCCCAAAATAAGACAGAGGTGTGGCTCCCATCCTCAAGGATATCACAATCCGAATAGAGAACCAAGGTTTAGGTCCTGGGAAGTGAGGGCGTTGCGAGTGTCCTAATACAACATTAGAGGACACCAGGAACCAAGCAGTGAGGTCAGCGCAGAAGAAGCAGTGCTAACAGTTGGATGCCTGGGTCGGAATCCCAGGACTGTCACCGTCCCTGCAGCCTGGGGATCCCCCCTCACCGGGGAGGGTGGAAGGCTCGCTGCGGGAGAGTCACATCCTGGGTGACGTGTAGGGGGCGGACTCAGTGAACTCAGCCGAGCATCATGGCTGGATCTTAAACACAGAGCTTGGGTGAGTTTTGGTTTTTAGGGGGGGAAAAAGAAAAAGACAAAATAAGATTTAAAGCACACGAGATCACTTATGGAACTCCCGGGCCTGTCGTGTGTGACCTTCTCGTGTGTGATGCCGAATGAGGCCGTTGGCTGGAAGTGGGAGCATGGGCCGAGCTCCCAGCTTTGTGTAGACACACTCAAGGTGACAGGAAACTGGTGTCCCATACGGCCTGGAGGGAAATGACTCCCTCTGCCTCACGCCATGCTCCGCTGACCTGCTGTACTTCCCCCTCTCTGATTCTGTTTACCCTTGTTTTCTTGCCTACTAAGGAATTATTCTCAGTTCCACCACCCCATGTATGGAAACTGCTACACTTTCAACAACAAAAACAACTCCAGTCTCTGGATGTCTTCCATGCCCGGAGTCAACAATGGTGAGCAGCGCTGACCCCGTGATGCCCTTCTTGCTGACCTGCCGCATCCACGTTGGCTCACCTCGGCCTTACAGTCTAGATGCTGGGTACCTTCTTGGCCCTACCTTGATATGCTCCTCACACTTCTGGAAGGGTCTTCGCTGTCCTTTCTTCCCTTCCCCCCACAACAAAGTCCCCCATAATCCATTCTAGGCATGGAAGGAATTCTATCCTTTAAGCTGGCCCAGAATTCAGCTGTGGGTTGCCAAATCCCCCTGAGGGGCTTACTAGCCTTGTTCCACTAAGAGAGGAAGGACTCTGCAAGGAGGAGAGGGTGGGTCTCCATCCCCAACTCCTCTCCTGCTGCATCCCCCCAGGTCTGTCCCTGACCCTACGCACAGAGCAGAACGACTTCATCCCCCTGCTGTCCACAGTGACAGGGGCCAGGGTGATGGTACACGGGCAGGATGAGCCAGCCTTTATGGATGACGGTGGCTTCAACTTGCGGCCTGGCGTGGAGACCTCCATCAGTATGAGGAAGGCAAGGGCACTCTGGGAACCTGGGAGGAGAGCCTCAGTGGCGGGAGAGGAAGATGGGAAATGAGAGGTAGACTTGACAGCCAGCCCTGAGACTGAAGGAAGGTCGTGTGAGTAGTTTCCTGCATAGGGATGTCATCCGGAGCAGACCTGAATGGAGGGGCTAGCCAAGGGGGCCCTGGGAAGCAAGGCTTTGAGGAGAGGACCCCAAGTGCTAAGAAAGGTTCAGCACATCCTTAGGCTTCCAGAGGATGCCCTGAACCTTGACAGTAGTACAAGGAGGGGTGTTCGGGGTGTTTTGAGATGGGGAGGCTGACGGCTTGCTGGCAGGGTGTGAGTTAGTCCTTGGGGTTGAGGGAAGACTGAAAAGCCAGGGTGAAGTCTGGGCCACTCTCTCTGACCCCTCACCTGTGAACTCTCTGTGTGCGTGTGTTCACAGGAAGCCCTGGACAGCCTTGGAGGCAATTACGGTGACTGCACTGAGAATGGCAGCGATGTCCCCGTCAAGAACCTTTATCCTTCCAAGTACACGCAGCAGGTACACAGGGCCTGTGGCAGCCCTTCCCAGGACTGCGCGTCAGTGAGGGGTGGAGAGGAGGTAGGTGGGGAATAGTAGAAAGGGCGGTGGGTGTTGGCACAGTGGTGAGAGGGTGCAGCCTTCCTGCAACGTGGGGCTCACGGGGTGGGGCTCAGCCAGGCCTGAAGCCTCTTGCTTTCCTCTCCCCTTTCTTCCAGGTGTGCATTCACTCCTGCTTCCAGGAGAACATGATCAAGAAGTGTGGCTGTGCCTACATCTTCTACCCTAAGCCCGAGGGCGTAGAGTTCTGTGACTACCGGAAGCAGAGCGCCTGGGGTGAGCCAGAGAGCCCCTGCGCTGTCTGTCGGAAACTCACCTCCGTCTCCCTTGGTGTCTGGCTCCCAGAGCCCTTGGCTGGGATGGCTTCTCCCATCCTGCTCTCCTCTACAGCTTCCACCTGCTTTTTTTGCCCTCAGTAGCTGCCTCGGTTTCCCTCCCTCCTTCCCATCCCGTCCTTGGCTTTTGTGCGTTTGTGAAGGGATTGTCCTGTCTGAAAATAGCCTGCAGCAGAAGGGAGGAGGGATGTGCCCTCCTGCTGTGGCTTCAGCATGTCTACTCATTCTTTAGATTCTTTAGGGTGCTCAGCAGGGCTGGCTCCTGGAGGGTTAGGTAGAGCACCCAACATCTCACTGGTTCCCCGGGAAGAAGTTATTGGAGGTCCCGTGATTGTCTCATCTCTCTGTGCTTTAGAAACTGTGCTGTCTCCTTTCAGCATTCCAAGGGTGCAGTTTGTGAGTTAAAAATAATTTTTAAAACCAACCTACCTTCCTTCCTGCTTTCCCTCGGCATTGTTCCTTCCTCCCTGCATGTGTGTGTGTGTGTGTGTGTGTGTGCGCGCACACGCGCATGTGCTTGTGCCATGTGGGCCACAGATTGAACTTTGGTCTTCAGGGTCAGGGGCTTTACCCACTGGGCCATCTCTTCCCCCAGGGATGTAATTTGTAAATCAAATGTACACTTGTTTGTTAGAAAATGTTTTTACCTGGAGCAGGGTACAACCGAACAAGTTGGAGAGCCCTGGCATGCTTATCCAGCCATTGTCTTGAACACATCCTTTTCCTTTCCACTGTGGCAGAGCTATCCTAGGATGCTGTGGGGAGGGGGCACCCTAACAGGAAACATTCCTGACCTGCATCCTCTTATCTGCACAGACACTTGTCCTTCACACCTCTCTTCCCAGGGGCCTCTCCCATCCCTCATCCCAGGCCTTTACATACTCAGCTCCCATTGGGGGGAGAAAGGGAGGAAGTGGGCCAGGGAGGAGGAGGCAAGGCACCAGAAACAATGGACATGGGGAGTTGTTTCACCTCTGTCCTAGTCCCACCAGTCCAGTGTCTGCCTTCTTTCTTGCCTGGCCCACTCCCATAGGACTTTTCCTCTGTCACTGCTCTTGTTAGGGCAGCCTACTTCCTATTGCTTCCTGCCCCCTGTTCCCTGCCCCCTGCCCCCTCCCCCTGCCCTCTACCTCCTAAACCCTGCCCACAGCCTCGTCCCCCTGCCCTCTGCCCCCTGCCTACAGCCTCCTTCCCCTTGGCCCCTGCCCTGTCTACAGCCTCCCGCTCCCTGTCTTCTGCCCTCTGCCCTCTTCCCTCTGCCCCCTGCCCCTTGCCCCCTGCTTCCAACCTCCTGCCTCCAGTCTTGGAAGGATCCCAGAATGTCAGAACTGGAGGGAACTCAGAGGTCACATGGTGTCACCTTATTTCTCAGATGGGCAGACAGAAGCCTGGAGGGCAGGAAGGCATGGTCAGGGCAGTAGGGGTGCTAGCTTGGTGGCAGCTCCCCTCTTCCCTTTCCTGCTCTCCAACAACTCCTTCTAAGTTATTTTTCATATTTATTTATTTACTGAAGCAGGATCTTGCTACATAGCTCTGGCTGTCTTGCAACTCACTATGTAGAACAAGCTGGCCTTGATCCCACAGAGATCTTCCTGCCTCTGCTTTCTTCTTCTGGTGGTGTGGGCCACCAGGCCCCGCCTTCTTTCTGAGTTCTGGAGCTTTGAAACTCTGAGAGAAGTTGTGCAGATGATGGGGAGCTAGCAGCATATTGGACGTGCCTTTCCTCCCCAGGGAAAGCTACTAGGCCACTTCCCATTACTTTCTGGCATGGTGGGTAGAGGATTTGGATCATAAATGGAGATGTGGCACACCTTCAATCTCTCTGTCTGTCTGTAACACACACAACAACAACAACAACAACAACAAAATAGTTTTTTTTAAGTTTCCTTGGAGCTTCCCAGTGTCATAGGGGAGACCCCAAAGCCCCATTCTCTTTTTTCCTTTTTTAAAATCAGTTTTACTGAGATGATTGGCATCTTGCAGAGTTCACTCACTTAGACTGTGTGGTTTTAGTTAAATGTAGTTTTTGGTGTTGGGCTTTTATTCTGGTCTCATGATTATTATCCATTTTAGAATTTAAAAAAAAATCACTCCTTGAAGACACTTTATACCCATGAGTAGTCCCCCAAGTTTCCCAACCCCCACTGTCAGCCGCTGGGCAACCACTAGTCCATGAGTTGAACATTTCACATAGATGGAGTCATGAACATATGGTCTTTGCCACTGGCTTTTTTCACTGAACAGCGTGTGCAGGGTCCAGCCGTGTTAAAATGAGTCAACGCTTTATTCCTTGTTATGGCTGAGCAGTAGCCTGTTGTGTAGATACGAAACTTTGGTTTGCTGAGGCAGAATCTCATGCTGTAGCCCAGGCTGCCTTCAGACTTCTAGCAGCCCTCCTGCCCGAGGCTCATGCGTGTTGGAATTACCGGTGTGTGCTACCATTTCCAGCTCTGTGCTGATTGATGGATGTTTTGGTTGTTTGTGGTTTGGGTTTTTGTGACGAACGCTGCTATGTCTGTCTGTGCCCGTGTCTTCCTGTGGACCTGTTTTCAGTTCTCTCCTTAGGCACCTAGGAGAACAGCTGGGCTCATGGGAATTGTTGAAGCGTTCTGAGGGACTGTCATACTTTTTGAGATGGCTGCACCATCTCATATTCTCAGCAGTAAGCGATGGTCCTGGTGGTCTTTGTTGGTGGTGTTTGTTTTTTTTTGTTTAAACCATTTTCCTAGTGATTGTAAAATTATATCTCATTGTGGTTTAACCCCCTTATTATGTAATCATTGTTCCCATTTTTTTTCTGACTTTTAATTCTTGTGACTTTTGGACATATAATATACATGCATGTTCCCCATTCCCCAGCTTAGCTTACTTTCTTTTTTTTTAATTAAATTTAATTTTTTTATTATTAGTCACATTTCATTAACTCTGTATCCAAGCTGTATCATGCTCCCATATTCCCTCCCAATCCCACTTTTCCTCCCTCATCTCCTCCCTGCCCCTTTCCAAGTCCACTGATTGGGGAGGACCTCCTCCCCTTTCATCTGACCCTGTTTTATCAGGATCTTCAGCACTGGCTGCAAAGTCCTCCCTAGCAGGACTGCTCCTCCCTTGGGGGGTGGGGAGGTCAAAGAGCCTGCCATCGAGTTCCTGTCAGAAATAGTCCCTGTTCCCCTTACTATGGGAAACCCAATTGGTTACTGAGCTACCACAGGCTACATCCGAGCAGAGGTTCTAGGTTATATCCATACATGGTCCTTGGTGGAGTGTCAGTCTCAGAAAAGACCCCTGTGCCCAGATACATTTGGTCCTTGTGGAGGTCCTTAGCTTACTTTCTTAAATAGTTCTGTTGCGGTTACCATTCTCAAGGCTCCATGGAAGTGCCCTTGTAAAGTGGGCGCCCAGGCGTTGTGAGAGACCTAGCATGTGGAAAAGGTGGAGATGCCCTCAGAAAACAGGCATTTCTCTGCACCCTCAGGCTATTGCTACTACAAGCTGCAGGGCGCCTTCTCCTTGGACAGCCTGGGCTGTTTCTCCAAGTGTCGGAAGCCGTGCAGGTAAGGGCCCTTCCCTGGGTGTGGGCTGGGCAGCAGCTGTTTGCAGGGGGAACCCCACTCATCACTGAGCACTTTTATCTCTCTGCAGTGTGACTAACTACAAGCTCTCTGCTGGCTACTCACGGTGGCCATCTGTGAAGTCCCAGGTAAAGTAGGGAGGGTAGGGAGGGATGCGCATGTGAACAGTTGCATACACGTGCAAGCGTGCATAACACAGTGGCCCTCTGAGTATTAGACATGTTGGCATATTTGACTGATGCCATCCCTGTAACCCTGCCGGATACAGAAGTGACCTCTTTGCCCCCCCCGCCCCTTTTTGTCCCAGGATTGGATCTTTGAGATGCTGTCCTTGCAGAACAATTACACCATCAACAATAAAAGGTGAGGCCTGAAGGGAGGTCCGGGAAGAGGTTCTGATGGAGGTGTTGGGAAGAGGACCTGTGACATTAACCCTCCACTGTTTCTTCCCGCTCTCTCCTCTTCCCCAAAGAAATGGAGTTGCTAAACTCAACATCTTCTTCAAGGAGCTGAACTATAAAACGAATTCGGAGGCTCCCTCGGTCACGGTAGGGCCTGCTTCAGTCAGGGAGCCTTTGATCTCCTGTGGGCTTGAGGGTCGCCTTTGTGGGGCCAGAAGGGTTTGTGCTTCAGAGGTCGAAAGCCAGGGAAAGGAAGTGTGGAGTCCAGGATAAGGTGAGAGCATTGGGGGAGGAAACGGGTGTGGCGACAGCGCGCCCCAGTTTCTGCTGCTCTCGCGGCCATTTTCCTATGGGGGATTATAATCAGGAGCTGCCCCTGGTGGGCCCCAGGAGCAAAGGGCTTGCTAAGGAGAGGGTGCTTCTTTCTCCCGCAGATGGTCAGCCTCCTGTCCAACCTGGGCAGCCAGTGGAGCCTGTGGTTCGGCTCCTCTGTGCTGTCTGTGGTGGAAATGGCGGAGCTCATCTTCGACCTCCTGGGCATCACGCTCATCATGCTACTGCGCAGGTTCCGAAGCCGCTACTGGTCTCCAGGACGAGGCGCCAGGGGTGCGAGGGAGGTGGCCTCCACTCCGACTTCCTCCTTCCCCTCCCGGTTCTGTCCCCACCCTACGTCCCCACCACCTTCTTTGCCCCATCAGGGCACAACCCCTTCCCTGGCCCTGACGGCCCCTCCGCCTGCCTATGCTACCCTGGGCCCTCGGGCCCCTCCACTGCACCCTGCAGTACCTGGCTCTTCTGCCTGTGCTCTAGAGGAGCGCTGAGACAGGAGAGTGCTCCTCTCAGCCGGGCCAGTGCTCCCTGGTAAGCTGAGGGATATCTCATCTTCAGCAGCACCTTCCACGGCTTGGCTTGGCTTCCGAGCTTTCTTTGGTGTGCCTGAGGGAATAGTCTAAGGGGCCCAGGAAGTTGTCCAGAGAACTGGCTAATGAGCTCCTCAGAGCTGCCCCCTCCTGCTTCTGATCCCCGCTGCGCACGCAAGCACAGACAAGTCTCCTCTCCCCTTGGATCAGCCAAGCCAAACTTGGAACTTTGACAAGGAACTTTCCTGGGAAACGACCAACGAATAAATATAAACAAGGCACAGAAGAGCAGCCACAGGTTTCGGCCAGACGTTGGCCTGGCCTCACTGTCTTCTGGGACACAGATGTCTGCTCTCCTTCTTGAACTGGAGTGGGGAAGCCCACCTGAAAACCCCCTTTGTTAGTGCCCTGGCAATTCCCCTTCCCTCATTCTCCGGGGTGGCCAGCGTAAAAGGACGATAGTAAAGGTTTGGCCATTCCCCTTCATTCATTTCCGAGACTGTCCTCCCATTTGATACGCCAGACCCCAGGGCCTCTGCAGCGTGCCCTTCATATTTGTCTTTTTAGCTATTTCCTCAGCCTAGAAGCTTCCTCTGCCATCTCCCAGAGAACTTCTATGCGTCCCTCAGAGCCATGCTCAAAGGCACTGTTACTTTTGTGAACTCTTTCACCCCGTCCTTTCTCCCCCAGCGCTGTCCCCTCTTCCCTCCCTCATTCCCACATTATATGTTCACATGCTTTAGTATCTGTCTCTCTGAGTAGACTGTGAACTCCTTGTGGTCGGTGATGAGTGTTGTTCATTTTTGTATCCTTCCGGTCTAGCCCAATATCTCTGTTGGAGCGGGCAGGCAGGTACCCAATAAATGCTTGTTCCATAAAACAGTGTCTGCAGAGCTGGCTGGGGCCCATGAGATGGGCAGGGAGGGGAATGCAAGTTCCTGAGGCACTGCCTTTTTCTGGGAGGCCCTATGGTGGAGGGAGGGGACAGGCAGCCATGCCAAATGTGTTACTGTCGTATGTCAACAAGAATGCTCTTCTTCAGACTCCACCCAGCCACCCTCCTCTCTGTCACACCTTGGTGGTACCAGACGTCACCCAGCTATGATGTAACCCTTGCCACCCTCTTCCCCATCACTGCCCTGGTGCTGGGGGAGAATGAGATCCAACCAGTTCTTCCAGAATGTCAGAGCCTTGGGTTGTCTTATCCACGGTGAGGTGGGCAGAGGGAACCCTCTCAGCTCAATGAAGGAGAAGCTGGGGAGTGTCCGAGTGGAACCTCACTTTTCTCACCTGCAGGTCTTCTGTCCACTCCAATGATCAGACCTGGAAACCTCAAATGACCCTGTTATGTTTTGTTTTGGGAAAAAGACTTGGGACTGTTCCTATTTTCCCATTCATCACATTTTCTGTCCTTAGGAGCCAGAGAAGGGGCTTTTCTTTTCTTTTCTTCAGGGAACTTACTATGTAGCCCAGGCTGGCCTTGAACTCACAGAACTTACAGAGATCCACCTACCTCTGCCTCCCTGAGGCCTGGGATTAAGGGCTAAGATCAAAGGTCTGTGGAGAAGAGGACCTTATAGAAAGAAGGAAGGAGCAGGGACATGGGTCATGGGACTTGAAGACTTTGACTTCCCGTTCCCAGACTCAAGCAAATGGCAGGAAATGGTATTGTTTCAACAGTGTCCCTGTCACAGCCTCAGGTGTGGCTGCTCTGGCCTCTCCCTCTTCCACTGGCCCCAGCCTTGTCCTGCCCATCCCTGTCTGCAGTGGCTGGGAAGGGAGAGCCTGCTAGACAGAAAGACCAGACAGACGGAGCCGGATCTGCAGTCAGCTCTATGCCCTGAGCTCCAGGTTCCTCTTACCCGCCTGTGCTACCTCCCTGGGGTCTCTCCTATCTTGCTTCTAGTCTGAAGACCACTCCTGGGTGTTGGGATCAGAGGAAACAAAACAAAACAACAACAAAAGGATTCAGTCCTTCCCATTTTCCTTATCAGGCGAAGCCTGTGGAGTGGTTTGCCCTGGGTTGTAACTCTCACAGAGTTGGAGTTGGCCTGGAATCCAGGCCCTCTTCACTGACTCATCTGGCCTCTCTGTAAGGTAGTTCACTCTCTGTAGTGAATGACAGGACTGTGGCCAGGGCCCATGTCACAGGGACTTGGAGCCCCCTGCCCTTTGGATTTCGTGTGGCAGTGTACATGTTCATGTGTGAGGCATGCCACGTATCAGGGGGGAGGGCGGCTGTTACCCAAAGGCTCATTCCTTCCTCCTCGACCTGCCTTCCCTAGCAACCAGCTCTGGTCCCCTGCTCTGCCATTATCACGGTTTCTTTTCTTTCTCTCTCTCTCTTTCTTTCTTAAAAAAGTGGGGTGTTTTTTTTTTCTTTAGTGTTGTTGTTTTCTGTTTGTTTGTCTTTTGGATTTCAAAAAATTTATGTGTCTGAGTGTTTTGCTTAAATGTAGGTATGTATGATGTATATGCACCGTACGGTGCCCACAGAAAACAGAAGAGGGCTCCAGATCCCCTGGAGCCACCAAACCAGCCCAGCCCTGGGAGGTGTGTGTGTGTGTGTGTGTGTGCTGGAGATGGATTTAGGGCCTATGGATGGTTGTGAGCCACTGTGTGGATTCTGGGTCCTCTGCAAGAGCAACCCGCTGAGCCATCTCTCCAGCTCCATTTTTTTTTTCTGTTATTATTATTTTTTTAATTTTAAGATTTACTACTTTTATTTCTTACGTATGGCTGTTTTGCCCGCATGCATGTCTGTGTACCATATGCAGACCTGAGGCCAGGAGAGGGTGTCTGATCCCTTGGAACTGGAGTTACTGACAGTTATAAGCTACCATGTGGGTGCTGGGAACCCAACACTGATCCTTTGCAGGAGCAGCAGGTACTTTTAACTTCTGAGCCATCTCTCCAGCCCCAACCATTCCCTTTTCTATTCCTGTTGTCACATCCTTATCATTCTTAATCTCCTCCATAAAAGTTGACTGCTTTTCACATCCTCAGATTCGTCCGCTCTTACCCTCTTTTTTTAAATCTTTTTTTTAAAGATTTGTTTAATATATATATATATATGAGTGTTCTATCTGCGTTTACATCTGCCAGATGAGGGAATCAGTTCACATTATAGATGGTTGTGAGCCACCATGTAGACGCCAGGAATTGAACTCATGACCTTTGGAAGAACAGACAGTGCTGTTAACTGCTGAGCCATCTCTCCAGCCCCTAACCCTCTTTCTCAAATGGAGTTTTATGGAGCACAGTATTATGTTGTCTCAAAGCTTCAAACTTGCTGAAAAAAAAAAAAAATCAGCATTTATCCTAAGCCATGAAGGAAATTCCCCTTTTGTGCCAGGCTCTGAGTAATAACAGCTTTGGCAGTTTGCACAGACAATTAACAATTCCTTGTAATATTAAACACGGGACCTTACAGTTGTTATTTATTAGCAGTACAAATTATTGATATTGTAGGATACTTAACATCTGGCAATAACACTTGCCAATACTTCTGATATTAATAGGAATGTAGTATGAATTTAGCCACCAAACCAGCCCCGGGAGGTGTGTGTGTGTGCGTGCGTGTGAGTGTGTGTGTGTGTGTGTGTGTGCGCGCGCGCGCGCGTGCGCGCGCGCGTGCTAGGGATGGATTTAGGGCCTTGTTTATGCTGGGTAAGCACTCTACCACTGAATTACACCTCAAGCCCCCTCCCCCCATTTATTCCTCTTGGCTTGCTCATGTTGGAAACCCGCCACTCTGATGGCGGGACTTGGGAGAAGAGATGGGCAATTGGTAGCCAACCCTAGTAAGGGATGGCAGTCGGAAGGCAGGGTCTTACTCAAAGGGGCAGAGAAAGTGGGGCCTTGCAATGGGAGCCAGGAATCTGGATTATGGTGCTCTGCCTCCCAGTGCCCCTCGTCTCGTGGCTTTTTTTTTCTCACCCCTAAACCTATAGGGTGTGGTATACTGTCTTTGGGGTCAGTCCCAAGGGATGGATCAGAATGGATCTAGAGCTGGGTGGTGGTGCACGCATAGAGGTGGGAGGGTCAGAAGTGCAAGGCCAGCCTCAGTGAGATAGTGAGTTTGAGGCCAGCCAGCCTGGGCTAAATGAAACCCCATTTTAAACAAGACAAAACAGCCCTGGGAACCCTTTACAGCCTGAAGCATCTTTACAGGCACGGCCTCCCGAATCTTCATGGCTTCTCTTTCCCTAAGTTCAATCACCAGGGAGCCAACCAATGTTTAGGAGGGGCCTGTATGATACACCCTCCTCCCGTTGGTAGCAGAGCCAGGATGGGCAGCTGAAAGAGACCAGATGAGAGTCAGTTGTGAGGGGCTGAGGGTCGGGCCCCAAACAGGGTAGAAAATTAGATTTGGCTTGCCTCCCGGTTTTGGCTGGGTGGGTAAATATTCAAGAAAGTGAGATTAGAAGGGACTCTGGAGTGGAGGGCGTGGGGGGGGGGGCTGCTAAGAGACACAGGGCCATCATCTTGTATAGGATCCCACCCTCCCTCACTAACTCCTGCCTGCCATCCCATCAGACAGGCTGACTACCTACATTCGGTGAACAGACTCGGAGGGGTCAGTCCGTGGGTCTAACCCACCTTTTTAGTTCACCCACCTAAAAAGCAAAAGAGTCTGAACCGGAGTTCGGTGAACTTGACTCTCAAACTCTCAAGCTTTTTCACTTAGTGTTAAGTGGGTTTGGAACGCCAGGCTGTGGGACCCGGACTACAAAGTGTTAAAGAACCTTGGCCCTTGTTCCCTCCTCCCTCCTCCCTCCTCCCTCGCCTCTCCCCAGGCTCTTCCGGCCCAGCTCTTGCAACACCACCCCCGCCACTCTCCCTTCCCCTCCTACCTCCTCTCCCCTCTCAGTTTTAATTTTCTACAAGTTTCCCCAACTCTGGCTCCTGATCGGGCCTTCTGGGTTCGAGGTCCTGGAGGACCCGTACCCGGATCTCTGTCTACCTCTGACTTTCAGCTTCTCTAACCTGGCCCAGGCTGCCATCGCCCGGGCCACCTGGTCCGCCCGTCTTACTTCATTCACCGGCTCACCAGCGCTGCCAGTTGCTGCCCTGTCTCCAGCCCCAATGGGGGAGTGAGAGGCCACTGCCGGCCGGACATGGGTCTCCCCACCGTGCCTGGCCTGCTGCTGTCACTGGTGAGACGGGGGACACAGGAGGGAAGGATGGGATGCTGTCAAGGAGTGGGCTGGCACGAGTGGGCTTGTACTAGGGGGGAGGTAGAAGCAGGGAGCTTCTCTGCCTCAGTTTGCCCCAGGCTTGCTGTGGCTTACCTGGGTTGCCTTGAGATGAGGAAGGGAGAAATCTGAGTGGGAGATTTACCGCAGGCCAAGCTGCCAAGCCCGGGGCCTGACAGCTAAGGTGGCAGGTCCTAGAGTGTGCTGGGCTGTGGGGCCAGCTGCTGGGCCAGTGGAATTGGGCAGAGCAGCCCCGTTTCTCTGGCAGAAGTTGAACAGCATGGGTCAGGCTGTTGGAAGACTGAGTCGAAGAAGATCAGTTGGTGGGAAAAGTTTGGGATAGTGTGCTTGGGAGTGAACCAGAAATGGCTAAAGCTTGGCAGCCCTTCCGTCCCTGACTTCTCCCTGAGATAGCTTTTGCCCTGTCTGCTTCCAGACAGGAGGCCTCCACTGGCCTATCCTTTCTTGGCAGCTAGCACCTCTTTTACCTAGGCAGAGTCTCCTCTAGCCCTCTCCCCACAGACCTAAAAGTCAATCTCAGTGTTTGCTAATTCCAGAGGTAAAATTGGGGAAGTTGGTAGCGGTTTGTTTTCGTCACTGGAAAATGTACTTTTCTCTGGCTTTGGCCTTGTCCTCGTGTTTCCTTGTTTCTCTCTATGTGCCTATAATCATTCTGTGAAGATCCCTCAGAGCTTCCCTGGCTGTCTGCGTGGGCTTTACAACCTGGGAAGTGTCTCTGAGTCCTGGCCCACCATTATCCCTGAGACCTGCGTCTTTCTCCATGCCCTTTCTCTCTCCCATTCTTCTTTTCCTGTCAATGTCCATAGTCTTCTAGGGCTCCTTTCTGCCTGTTCCCTTCCCTCGTCCTCTAGTTCTCGTTCTAAACCGGTGTTTCCAGAACCCTGTACTACTCCAGTCTGTCTGGTCTTGGGTCTTTGTTGGTGTGTGTGTGTGTGTGTGTGTGTGTGTGTGTGTGTTTGTTTGTTTGTTTTGAGACAGGGTCTCTCCGTGTAGCCTTGGCTATCCTGGACTGATCCGCCTGCCTCTGCTGGGATTACAGGCATGTGCCACCATGCTGGCTGGCTGTCTTGCTGCTTTTCATTCTCCCTCTCCTGACTCCCAGTCTCATTTCACGAACCCCGTCAAGACTTCCGCGTCTGGCTCTGCAACCATCCTCCAGCTCCCCCACCCACTTAATTCTTTTCTCTTTTGGAGTTGATTACCTGTATTTAGGGCTCAGCCTGGCACTCTTACCCACATGAACTTGGGCATGTGATACGACACCCTTGTGCCTTTGTTTATTTCCAAAATGTCTATAACTATTGCTATCTCATAGTTGTTATTTTAAGATTGAATATATGCATGTGTTTTTATTCCATTTATTAATCTCCTGCTCTGTGCTAGGCCCTACTTCAGGTGCTAGGATTAGAGAATGAAGTCCTGAGGTCAAGTTGATAGTCTTGAAGGGGAATAGTATGCAACAAATAGCAAGGAGCAATGACTGCTTAAGCTTCCCTTTTCTAATCTCTAAGAGTATTAGTAGTCATTACTCAATGGCTGCCAGTGTTTGATTGAGGAAAAAATGGCCTGGATAGGCAGAGGAGAGATCTTGATCCGGTTGTGGAGGTCCAGGTGGAGATGGGGTACTATGAACGGAAGGACAACCAGAAGACAGGGGACACAGAAGGCTGGTGAAGTCTACATAGAGCTGTCCATGGCTTTGTCAGTACTGAGCGTAGTTCCTAGGAGGTGTATGAGTGAGGAGGAGGTGCTGGGGTCATGAGGGAGCGATGTATGTGGCCAACCAGACTTTGCTATTCCTAAAGAGTTTAAATATAGGAGTCAAAATGGCTTTAGAACACCCTGGCGGAAAAGGCATGCCAAGGCTTTGTGGCACACTGTCCTGGAGGCAGAACTGGGGGAGGGGGTTGGGCCATAGGCTTGCTTAATGGCCTTTGCCTGTCTGCTGGGCTGAGCTTGCCTGCATAGACTCGAAGACTCACAGTGTGTTATCTTTGGCTAGGGAGCCAAAGATAACACAGAACAGTGTGAGCTATGCCCCACCCATCTTGGCATCTCTAGCTCCCGTGCAGGACCTGGAAAGGAGACCTTGACCCTTGACTAATGGCTTAATCAATTAAGGAACAAGAGACTGATCAGAGAGGAATGAAGGGGGGCACATAGAAAAGAGGAGTTTCTGGCATGCAAAGCTAGGAAGGAGGGAGGGCAGAGGAGTTGGGAGCCTGGGTTGGAGAGATGGAGAGATGGGATTTTGTGTTGAAGGTGGTGGTTACTGGAGCTGAACTCCTCAGCTGGGAGTGGAATGGCAGTGTTGAAGAATGTGGCAAAGAGAGAACAGGCACTCTGGGGTGTGTGAAAAAGAGTCTTGAGCCAGTCATGGTGGTGCATGCCTGTTATCCTAGAACTTGGGAAATGGAGGCAGGAGCTCAGGCCAGTTTTAGCTACATAGAGAACTTGAGGCTAGCCTGGACTACATAAGACCATGTCTTTAAAAATACCAAAGAGAGAGAGATAGAGAGAGAGAGAGAGAAAAGAATCGTGTATAAGGACTCAGGTAGAGGCCTTTTATTTTCCCTTCCTCTGCCTTCCTTCCTTCTTTCTTTCCTTCATTCCTACCTTCCCTCCTTCCTTCTTTCTTTTGCTGTTGTCCAAGCATCTATTCTGCCCAGACTATGTCCCAAATAACAGTGAGTTCTCTCTGACATGTGTGCTCATGGGAGAATTTTATCCATGGAAATGATGTTTGAAGCCAGACCCCGGAGGCGCAGAGGGAGACTCACACCCTAGTGATACAAGTTGAAGCCTGAATGCAGATAAGAAAAAAAAAATGTAGGTAGCTTCAGCCCCAGCAGACATTTGAGATAGGCACATCACTTGAGCCAGAAAGTTGACGTCAGCCTGAGCAACGTAGTGAGGCCCTGAGACCCCGCTGTGGAGTAGAAAGGCAGAAGGTCATTGCAATAATCAATAGTCCAGGTGTGGGGCAATCAGAGGACATGAGGTAGGGTGGAGAGATTCCAAGAGAAGGACTGACATGTCTCTGAGGACCTTGGCAGAGTTTGCAGCTTTGGTAGCAAGAAGTTGGTGGTGTGGCATCTAGGTGAGGAGACTGGTGAGCTCACTTGGGGGGCAGGTCAGGCAGGTCGGTGACTGGCCGTGTGGAAGTGTGCTTGAACTGACTGGGGTAGCAGTTCTCAGCCTTTTCTTCTAGCTGATTCCCGCTGCACTGGCTCCTCGGCCAGACTCAGGAATGGACAACACAGGGCAGAACAGTCGTAGGGCTTCGTGCACGAGTGTGCCTTCGTGTGGAAATGGGTGAACAGTTTTGAATGTCTCCCATAGCCAAGTACGGCTCTGTGGCCGGGGCGGGGGGGCTGCTACTTCCCTACACCCTTGAAGGTGTCACTGGTTCGATCTGGCTCCATCAAATCAATCTGTTCCTCCAGTTCTGCAAGCCTGGCTCTGGGTGACCAAGGCAGGCTCTGATCTCTTAGCTCAGAAGCGTTTGTGGTCTGTCTGGGGAGATCGTATCTACTCATTTGAAATAACTAGCTTCTGATAAGAGCCCAGAGGGGATATGGGCAGTTCGTGTTATTCAGCACCAACAGGTGACTGGATGGATATCCAAGGAGCTTGGGTGGGGAACCGTGAGTCATCGTCGGGGGGCTTTGTGGGTGGAAGGTCGGATTGTGGCGGAGTTCTCAGTGGAGGCCACACCGATGAGCTCTTCACCCCGGAGGTCTTGACATTAAGTGGAACAAACACATTTTTACATAATGAACACATCAGTGCGGGGGACGGGCCTGGTGAGTGGGTCCCCAAAAGGTGGCTGGGTCAAGGTTTGACCACAGGGTCCATCTCGGCTTCTCTGCCCTATTCGGCAGCCCCAGCACAGGAAGTCACACCTTAAGGCCTCCCCAGGCGGAAGCTGAGAGGTAGTTAGATGCCTTGCCTCCTCCTCAACCATCTCTCTTCAGGCACCCCCCAGCTTCCTGTCCCTCCTCTGCTCCAGGCAAAGGCATTCAGGTTTGGGCCAGGACCCTGGACCTGGCTTCCCTGTGCTGTCATTTGCCTCATAATGCAATTGCTGGTAGAGCTAGTGGGTGCCTGCACATGGTGCCTACTGACAGACTCTGAGGCTCCCAGAATCCCTGGGGCATGTGAGATATAGTGCTGGTTTGTGTCCCTCTCCATCTCTTTGTTTGTGGATTTTGTTTTGTTTTGTTTTGGGCAGGGTTTCCCTGTGGAGCCCTAACTGTCCTAGAACTCTCTTTATAGACCAGGCTGGCCTCGAACTCAATGATCTGCCTGCTTCTGCCTCTGGGATTAATGCCCTCCATCTCTTCTGACCTTAAGAGGGCTGCGGATTTTGCTCTGTGGCCACGAGGCTTGGGGGAGTGGCTTGAAAGCCTCAGAGCTGGGTTTCTTAAGGATTGTCTTGGGAGCCCCCAAACCCAATGCAACTGGCCAGAAGCGGGCAGGCTGTGGGAATATTGTGAACTAGGCTGGGAGGGCAGCCTGGGCTTGATTCTTGCTGGAACTGGGGAGTGTCAGGGGGCTGTCGGGGAAGCCCAGGGAGCTAGGGAGCAGGGATCCTGGGATAGGGTTTATCAGCTGAAGACTGTTGTTTAACTCTGAGGTGGTATCCGGGCTAGTCCCAGTCTAAAACGGAAGGAAGGATGTCGGGGAAGAGAGGGGGCTGGTCCTCTGGGAGGAGTCTGCTGACCTGATGGGGGAAGCCAAGGGTCAGGAAGACTTCCCTTTGGGATGGAATGGAAGAGGGAGGCATTTCTCCGAAATCTGTGGGCCCAGTGGGACAGGGGTCCATTGCCTGGCTCTTTTAAGGGGAAAGGATAAAGGGCCCTGACTGGGGATGGGGGGAGGAGAGGCTGCTCACTATGGAGAGAACAGATGGGGTTCCATTTGCTGGCTGGCCTTTTCTTTCTGCTGACTCACACAGCCCTTGAAGAGCTGGGGAAGCTGCAGTTCCCTGTCCACTGTCCTACATGCCCTCCCTCCCTGGCCTTAGTCACTGGGGCAGGGCGGAGCTGCTGGGAAAAGATTTCCCTTTCCCGGATTTGGCTTAACCCCCAGAGTTCTGGAAAGGGAGGAACACGTGCCCAGAGAGTCCTCACTCCTTCTCTGGAGGCTCTGTCACTGGCTGAGACCCTCCCTTCAAGGCTGTACTTGGCTCAGAGCCCACCTCTACCTCTTCCTGAGGCTTCCTGCCTCCGTCTGTTGGCTTTGCTTCAAGTTCTCAGATGGGGTTGGAAGGGACCATTGACCTTAGGTGCTCCAAGCATTTCTTCTTCGGGGAAAGGAACTATGCTTTCGTGATTGGGAAGTTCTTATCATAACTAACCCTTCCTGTCACCCTGGAAGCCTTCTGCGCTCTGTCTGTCTGTGAGTGTGTGTGTGCGCGCGTGTGTGTATAGGGGCTGTACCCCCTGCCTGAGAGATTGCTGCTGTTCTTCTGCGTGTGGCTTCTCAGCTCTATGACCGAGGCTTCCTGACCCGTGCAGCTGCTGTTGCCACAGTAGCTCACTTGGGGTGCAATCTCCTTCTAAGAGAGCTGTGGAGGCTGCAGGCAGCTGTGAGTCTAGGCAGCTCCGGACCGTGACCTGGTTGGTTTGCTGCTTCTGCATCTGTAATGTGCCACGATGACATCCTTTCTATTGACATGTAGTGGTTCATAGCAGGGGGTGGGGCAGGGGGTGAAAGAATGAAGGCTTGAGGGAAACCCAAAACTGGGAGAGATCAAAGAGCAAGGTCTAAACTGAAGCTTTCTCCACACCTGTTTACACACAGGAAAACCACTTAGCTGATATAGCTGCTCTGAGCGTCGCCAAGGTTATAAAACCAGCCTTCTAGAATGCGCTGCTTGGCCCAGGGCTTTGGGACTCCTGGTACATCCTCAGTTCCTGATTTGCTGGTCATCTCGAGGCAGGTCACCAACCCCTGGCTGGGTCTAGTACATGATCCACTTGTCTCTCGGCTCAGCCCTAAGCCTCGTCAGCTGCCTTCCCTCTCCATTTGTCCTTGTCAGCCAGAGGTGTAGTGTCAGTTCAGCTGTGGAAGGCATGGATGCGAGGGTAGATTGCCGAGCAAGGCTTGAAATAAATATTTAGAATACTTGACCGGGTGTGTGGCGCAGGGCATGTGTGAGGTCCTTGGTTTTATTCCCAGCTCCTCCCCTCCCTCGACGCACACGTTTGTGAACACGTTATCACGAATCACAATGGTGCTTGCAGGATCGTCATCCACTTGTGTCCCCATCAGATTTTTGTGTATAGGTACCCACGGGTGTGTCACTGTGCATGGAGGTCAGAGGTCAACCTCAGGTGTTCCCCTCAGATACCATTCACCTCATGTTCTGAGACAGGATCATTTTCTGGGACCAGGGCTCTCACTGGTCCAGCTAGGCTAGGCTGGCCAGAGAGCTTCGGGGATCTAGCTGCCTGTCTCCTCTCCATTCCTGGGATTCCAAACCCATGCTGCTGTGCTGGGCTTTTTATGTGGCTGGTGGGGAGTGATCTCAGCTTCTCATGATGGCACAGCAGGCACTTTCCATCTTCATAGCCGCCCTCCCTATAGCTCGATCCCCACCCCCACCCATAGCACTTTTTATTAGTGTAAGGGAACCAAAGCTTTGCAGGTCCTAACGGCTCTCCTCGGAAGTGTCCACAGACGGGCACACCGTGAATCCCGCACCCAGGCATAGAGATGCCTACCCCGCTGTAGGACCATCAGTTGGAAGAACTGGCTGTAACTGAAGCAGCCTGCTACTTCTGCCTAAAGATGTTTCCTCACAGGGCAGGGGCCATCTCAGTGGTTCTGTGTAAGACCCCAAGTTCCACAGTGGCCTCAGTCTGAGGCTCAGGAGGGATTCAAAATGCTGCTGCCTCTAAGGCCTCACCCCTGACAGTGTTTCCTCTTTCTGGTTCTTCCCTCAGGTGCTCCTGGCCCTGTTGGTGGGGATCCACCCCTTGGGGGTCACTGGACTGGTCCCTTCTCTTGGGGACCGGGAGAAGAGGGATAGTTCGTGTCCCCAGGGAAAGTATGCCCACCCTCTGAATAATTCCGTCTGCTGTACCAAGTGCCACAAAGGTAAGAAAGAGTGGGCACAGAGAGTCCCCTTGAGGCTTCCTTTGCTTATTTCTGATGGTCCCGAACCTCGGTTCCTGGGAGTCCCGCCCTTTTTAAAAAAAGAATATTTATTTTTATTGTTCACACCATACTCTGCCTACATGTATGCCTGCACACCAGAAGAGGGCACCAGACCTCATTATAGATGGTTAATGAGCCACCACATGGTTGCTGGGAATTGAACTTAAGACCTTTGGAAGAACAGCCAGTGTTCTTAACCTCTGAGCCATCTCTCCAGGCCCCTGGGAGTCCCCTTTACTTTGCTGTTCCCCTTGGACTTGGGTTTTGTCCTTCAGCTCTCTACTGCAGCCTAATCCTGGCCCATTTCACAGGAACCTACTTGGTGAGTGACTGTCCAAGCCCAGGGCGGGAAACAGTGTGCAAGGATTGTGATAAAGGCACTTTTACGGCTTCCCAGAACCACCTCAGACAGTGCCTCAGCTGCAGGACATGTCGAGAAGGCAAGCCTTGGGAGTGGGCAAGGGGTGTGGAAGGTGCAGGGTCTGAGGAGGTATGTGAGCTCGCCCGTGTGTGGATGTGGATGTTTGCAAGGGGTCGGGATTTCAGTCTGCTCGTGGGGTTGGTGAGAACATGTATGGTCATGCAAGTCTGGGCCTGTGCATTTATGTTACGAAGAGGTTTGTGTGGGAGAAGGGATGCGAGACTCATGTACCGTTCCCTTTCCTCTTCAGAAATGTCCCAGGTGGAGATTTCTCCCTGCAGAGCGGACAGGGACACTCTGTGTGGCTGTAAGGAGAACCAGTACCGGGACTACTTGGGTGAAAAGCTCTTCCGGTGCAGGAACTGCAGCCCCTGCTTCAACGGCACTGTGACTATCCCCTGTGAGCATCACTTACCCGATCCGGGCCCCCTCCCCTCCTCAGGAGTGTCCTGCCTCTCAGGTGGAAGGTTTCCACTTCTGTCCCCCTCCCATCCTCAGGAGGCAACATCTCTGCTCCCCGTTCTCTGGTCTGTGGGTATGAGCTCCTGGAGGCTGCCTGTGTCCTGCCCTTCTTCCTCACTCTGGCCCTCGGGCGGCAGGCACGCTCTCTTAGTCTTACTGTTTTCTCCCAGGTAAGGAGAATCAGGACACCGTGTGTGACTGCCACGCGGGATTCTTCCTAAGAGGAAATGAGTGTGTCTCCTGCAGCCAGTGAGTACCTGTGGACAGGTTGGGGACCTGGGGTGATTGAGCAGCTGTGGCTGAGAGGCCCCTAGCGGGATCTCATCCTACAGCTGGATGAGAAGAAGACTCTGACAACAAGGCATCAGACAGTCCTTTCTCTATCTCCAGTACCTCTGGGGCCAGGCAAGGTGGCTTAGCGCTTAGCAAGTTAAGCACTTGCAGCAAAAGCCTGGCCGCCTGAGTTCAGTCTCTGGAACCCAGGTAAAGGTGAAAGGAGAACATAGCTGTTCCACAAGGACATCCTCGAACCTTCACGCATGCGCTGTAGCGTGCAGGCCTCTGCAGTGCTGGGCAGAGGTGGAGAGGAAGGGTGTGGAGTGAGGTCAAAGGCAAGCCCCCAGGGACCTAACTCTTTCTAGGCCCCATGTCCCAGAACTTTGGGCATCAAGCCTTCAACACATGGATCCCGGCAGGACGTTTCAGATCCAAACCATAGGCCTCTCGGTGCAAGAAGCCCACCATCAAACACAGTGATAAACTCAGTCCACGGAGGGCTGCCATCTACCATGCACACACCATGTCAGGACTAAGGACTTGACCCAAGAAATCAGAGGTCGCATGAGCTCCATGGCATGCTGGGCCATAAAAGTGAAATGGCTTGTTTGTGTCCTGTTACTAGTCAAGGACTGGAATGGAACTTTCACTCTGACCATAAATGCCTTTAAATTTTGTTTTTAAAATATTGATTGTGAAATCCAGGCTCTTTGCATGATATTCATGGAGCCATAATAACCTCAGCCCCATAACCATTTTATTTATTTATTTTTAATTGTTTTTGTTTTTCCAGACAGGGTTTCTCTGTGTAGCTTTGACTGTCCTGGACTCACTTTGTAGACCAGACTGGCCTCGGAACTCACAGCAGTTTGTTTTCCTCTGCTTCCTGAGTGCTGGGATTAAAGGCATTTGCTACCACACCTGTCATTTTATTTTATTTTATTTTATTGTATTGTATTTTATTTTATTATTTTGTTTTGTTTTGTTTTGTTTTGTTTTATTTTATTTTATTTTATTTTATTTTATTTTATTTTATTTTTTACTCAGGGTTTCACTGTGTACCCACTGTGTAGACAAGTTTGGCCTTGAACTCATAGAAATCTGCCTGCCTTAACCTCTTGAGTTCTGGGATGTGCCGCCATACCTGACATTTAAAAAAAAAAATACTTTTAAAAAATTATTTTTATTTCATGTGTATGAGTGTTTTGCCAGCATGTATATGTTTGTACTGTGTACATGCCTGTGTGCATGCCTGGTACCCTCAGAGGCCAGAAGAGGGCATCAGATCCCCAGAACTGGAGCTACAGATAGTCTTGAGCAGTCTGGTGGCTATTTTAAACTTATCAGCATTATAGTCTTGCCCTTTCTCTCCCTTTCCCCTTCCTTTCCTCTCTACCCTCTTTCTTGACACGGTCTCTTGTCACCCAGGCTGACCCCTGACCTTGCTGTGTAGCCAAGGGTGACCTTGAACTTATCCTCTTGCCACTACCTCCCAAGTGCTGAGGTTACAGGTATATGGTTCCACTCCTGGCTGTCAACAGCCTTTCCAGGATCCCTTCCTCAACCTGTGAAATAAAATGGTTGTATGGTGGACTGTTACCATTCTTCTGCAGCCGTTCTCAAGGAGGGTTAAATTCCATTATATGAAGAGATGGCAAAAAAACAAACAAACAAACAAACAAACAAACAAACAAACAAACCAAAAAACAGTTGCAAAGAACTTCAGGATGTCAGGATTCACCAATGCCGTCTCTTCTTTCAGTTGCAAGAAAAATGAGGAGTGTATGAAGTTGTGCCTACCTCTGTCTGCAAATGTCACAAACCCCCAGGACTCAGGTGAGGCGGCCTGGCCTGGTGCCCATGCTCACTAGCTGGCTGTGACTCCCTAGCCTCCCTCCACACTCCTCTCCCTCTCTCCGCCTTCCCCAGCCCTCACTCTCTACCGCTGCCTCACACTGATCACCCTCTCTTCTGTCTGCAGGTACCGCAGTGCTGTTGCCTCTGGTTATCTTCCTTGGACTTTGCCTTTCATTCTTTATCTTCATCAACCTAATATGCCGATATCGCCGGTGGAAGCCCAATGTCTACTCCATCAGTGAGTGTGGCCTTTCGGGGATAGAGGGTGTTGGTGGGGATGTAGGAGGGGATGGGGTGAGCAGGATGGAGATGAGGAGTGGTCCCTTTGTTCATGGCTACGGACTGGGCATAGAGTGGCCCTGGGTGGTGGGAGGGAAGCCATATTGTATCAGTACTTCTCTTGTCCCCTGGGGCCACAGAGACCCTGAGGCATGATACCGCAAGTCCCCAAGGCCAGGGCTGAGAGGGAAGTGAAATTCATGATGCTTTGTTTCTTTTTTCTCAGTTTGTGGGAATTCAGCTCCTGTCAAAGAGGTAAGAGGAAAACTACTCCGACTTCCCCGACTGTTCCTTTCCCACTCCTGATACCCAGATTGCTTGAAAAGGGGGTGGTGGGCTCCCTTAGTTCCTCTATCCCCACCCCCATAAAGAGTAAAGAGCCTGAAGCCTCTTTTTCTTCCCCTACTAATGCTTTGCTTTCCCTCTTTCAGGTGGAGGTTGAAGGAATTGTTACTAAGCCCCTAACTCCAGCCCCTACCTCAACCTTGAGCCCCACCCCTGGCATCAACTCCGTTCTGGCCTTCAGCCCCACCCCAGGCTTCGGTCCCATCTCCAGTACCCCCAGTCCCACCTTCAGCCCTAGTAACTGGCCCAACTTCACCACGGTCATGCCACCTATAAGGGAGGTGGTCCCAACCCAGGTTGCTGACCCTCTCCTCTATGCATCCGCATCCACCACCCCGGTTCCGGTCCCCACCCCTGTTCCGAAATGGGAAGACTCCGTCCACCCGCGTCATCCTGACAGTGAGTTTGGGCTCCTGGGGCGGGGGGGGGGACATTACTCCTGGAGGGGATCGGGCAGGGCTGCCGCTGGAGGCTCACGGTCCTTGCCCCCAGTTGCAGACCCTGCTACACTGTATGCGGTGGTGGACGGCGTGCCTCCGACCCGCTGGAGGGAGTTTATGCGGTTCCTGGGGCTGAGTGAGCACGAGATCGAGAGGCTGGAGCTACAGAACGTGCGCTGCCTGCGCGAGGCTCACTACAGCATGCTGGAAACCTGGCGACAACGCAGGCCGCGCCACGAGGCCACGCTGGACGAAGTGGGACGCGTGCTTTGCCACATGGACCTGCCGGGCTGCCTGGAGAACATCCTGGAAAAGCTGGGAAGCCCCGCCTCCTCGTCCGCGCCCCGCCCCCTGCGATGAGGCCACACCCCCGCCTCAGGGGAGGGACCTGAAGGACAGCCCTTGCTGGGTGCCCTGCTTCCCCGCAGACCTCCTCTTTGGGTGAAAAGGAGGCAGGACCCTCAAAGGAGCAGGCTCGAGCTGGCAGCCACTTCCTTGGTGCTACCCCCTCGGTTGTACAGCAGCTTTTCTCAGCTGCCGAGGGCAGCCCCCAGAGCGGCCACTTGTGCGTGGCAGCGAGATGTGCCTGCCATCTGCCGGCTGAGGGTGCCAAAAACCAAAATAGGTGATTGTAGAAAGGGACGCTATATCTCATGCCCACTTGGGAGGCAAGGCTTCTCATGGCCTCCCCAGTTTTTTCCTGGGCCTTTTTTCACAGTAGATAAGCAATCCTTGTATCAATTATATCACACTAATGGAAACTCAGCCTCCTTTTGCTCCCTGCCTGGATGAACAGCTGAACTGTCTAGGTAGGGGCGAGCACAGAACAGTGAGGTCTCCACCTGGAGCCCGTGAGCTCTTGTAAATACACTAAAATTCTAAAAATGACCTCTGACCCTGGAAAGAGTGGTCTGTGGATAGGAGAGGCTGGGCAGAGCCCAGGATCTGAAGAGGAGCGTGGAAAGTCCAGCCATCCTGTTAGCCATGCGGCTAACAGAGTAGACCGCATCGCGACCCTATGGGTGCTCGTGCTTCTTGCTTCCCACTCCCATCCCGTGCTAACCAAACAGCCATGTTTCTGGGCAGTTTTATGTGGGGCTCAGGGGTGTGTCCCCGTCTTGACCTCCGGAGTCCTCAGAGCAGGAGGAGGGGGCCTGGGTCGGGGGGCTTGTTTTGAAGCGGATCCTTGAGGTAGACTCCAGGGGGAGGGTGGTGGCCAGCACTCTTGGGGAGACAGTTCCTCTAGAGGATGTACCAGGAGGCCTCAGCATTGCTCACACTTCTCTGCAAAGCAAAAAGACAAATAGGATCGATGTCCAGCAAGGAGCGGGCTGACGGTAAAGCTGAGTCCCGTCCCGTCCCCCCCCCCACCGTGTTGGTCCCTGCTCTGCACAGCCTGCCTCTTGGAACAGCCCCTCACTCCGTACCGCCCCTCTGCACCCTAGTTTCTGCACTTACGATGTGGACAGGGGTGTGTCCAGTTGTATGACGTGGGTGCCCCTCATTCTCTGCAGCTGAGCTCGTGTCAGCCTCCGGGGCTTGCCTTCCCCGGGTTCCGAGGCACCCTCAATCCTTTGGCTGGCCAGCTCCTCCCTTATCTCCCTGAGCATGTCCTCAGCCCGCAGGGGGCGGGGGCGGAGTCCAGGGGACAAAGGCCTCTGATCTTCGTCTGAGGACTCCCAGGGGCTTTCCCCAGCCGAGTCAGTGTGGGTGGGAGAGTGGGGGCGCGGACTGCGACTCTGCGCCCGGTTTAGGGTTTCTACCACCACGCTCCCCGGGGTGGAGGCCTCATCTTCCTCCTCCGACCAGGTCGGTGGGGCTGTCCTGGGTAGACTGCCTCCTCTTAAGATCCCGTCGGGAAATTCTGGGGCACTCCGTCGCTGGGGAGCTTGGGGGTCAGGAGGCTGCGGGCGCAAAGGAACGTCTCTGAGTTCCAGGGTGGAGAAGGTGAGACGAGGGTCCCTCCGGAGAGCTTTGGTCCGAAGCCTGCTCAGGGGGGAATGAGAGTTCTTGGGGGAGCTTGGAATCAGGGTGCTGTAGCCAGAGTCTGAGGCATCGTCGGTCACGGAGGCGGCATCTTCATCTGTATCTTCAGTCACCACCAGGCGGGGGATGACGGAGAACTCCAAAGTCCTATGGTTAATAGCAGAAAGTCAGACCCGGACACCGAGGAGCAAATCAAAGCTAGGAAATCTCCCCTATCACTCCGTCCCGAAACGTCCCCTCCTCCAAACTTACGGTCCTGTCTCTTTACATGACAGCTAGAATTGTGCTCTACAGAAGACTTCTCTTATACAGTGCCTGTGCTGAAATTAGGACAGTGTGCAAGGCCGTCAAATCTATGAAGCGCCCCCACTTAAAAAGGAAAAAAGACCTTGAGCTAAGCTGAGTATGGTTCCTCAGGAGGAGTGCTGTGAGTTCGAGGTCAGCCCGAGCCGCAGGCCTCAAAACCACACAGAAAAATAAAAAAGAGCTTGGGCTGCCTCGAGCACCTGGTTCAGACCTGGTATCAAGCAGCAGCTTGTCCCATATTTGCTGAGCGGGCACAGGGATGGATTCTTCTCTCTAAAAGTGTGTTACTAAGCATATATATGAATATATATATATATATATATATTGCTGCGTCCTGGAAGCTCTCACATTCTGAGAATCATACCTACCTTCGCTCTGGAGCCTGCTCCTCACAGGAAACTCACACACCACGTTTCTGTTTCCTCTGCCCTGTGCCGGCCCTGTGCCACCCATCCCTTCACACAGTGACTACCAACCTAGTCCCGCTCCCAGCTGCAGCTCGTCTTCCCGTCTTCCTGTACCACGCCTTGGTCCCCTGAGGCTCTATGGCCTCTTCTTAGCCTTTTGAATTTCTTCTCCCTCCTCCCACCCTCGGCCCCTCCTTTGACGGCGCACTGGAGTCTTACCTCTCCTCAGCACTGCTCTGAGAGTCCTCCTGGGAAGGAGTGGAGGGCCTGGTGCTGGGGGACTCCCTGCCCTGGTTGCGGTAGATGGCCAGGAGCTCCCTCTTCTGTTGAACATACTCCTCGGCCTTCAGCTTCTGCAGAGTGGCCTGCAGAGGGACTTCCATTATGATGAGCCCTCATTTATAGAGCACTTGCTGTATGCTGGGTACCGTGCTAAGGGCTTTACCTGCGGTATTTTAATCCTCCTAGCCCCTTCCGGGACACAGGTGTTTATGCTTTTTTTTTTTTTTTTTACTACGGAGAAAGGGGAACTAGAAGGCTAGTGGCCACCACAGGATTCTTACAGGAAGGGATATGGTGGCAGCAAGCTACAGAGCTGGTGCTGGAGGTGACTGGCACAGACAGAAAGTCCCCTTTCCTCCTCTGTCATGTCCCTACATTTCTTGCCTCCAGGGAAGCCCAGGGATGCTCCTCTTTTAGGAGGCCTTCCTTGACTGGGATGACAGTGCCTCGAGGGTTCTTAACCGTACTGGTCTTTCGGGCTGCTCTTGTGAGCACATTCCTCTCTTATCACCTCGGCCTCCATTCTGAGGGTGGAAGGAATAGGGGCATGCTTGTCCTAGACTGAGGACTCTTCTGTCCCTTTAAGACGGGAGTGAAAGGAAAGCTGTCCTAAGATGAAAGAGAAAACGGCAGACACACCTTTGGGTCAGAGTAAAGCAGTGACATCTGAGAGATGGCTTATGGGGTGCTTTGTCACATGCCGTCACCCTACAGTATGGAAAGCATGGCCGTGAGCTCAGTTCACAGACCCAAAGACTAGCCTTGGATGCAGCTTCTTGCCAAGGAAGCGCCGGTAGAGAAGAGAGCTTTTAAAGTCCTAGTTCAGGGACTGCAAGCTCTGGAAAGGCAGCCTTGAAGGGCCTTGAGTTACCACAGGAGGCTGGGGAAGACGGAAGAGCCTGAGGAGACACAGGATGGGGGGTAGGAGGAGGCTTGGCATGAGGGAACATAGAAGTGGCTGCTATGGGCAGAGTGGACATCAATATTCATAGGCGTGGCTAAGAAAATACTGAAGTGCTCTTCAGCTGATAGAGAAATGACTACAGGCTAGGCATAGTCCCAACATTTGGATCGAGGTGGATCCACCTGAGGCACTTGGATCTGAGTTAGAGGCCAATCTAGTCTACATAGAAAGTTCCAGACCAGCCAGAGCTAAATGGTTTCTCATCTCAGAAAATAGGAAAGGAAGGAAGGAGGGAGGAAAGGAAGGAAGGAAGGAAGGAAGGAAGGAAGGAAGGAAGGAAGGAGAGGCTGTAGCTAGAGACTTCTATCCCCCACTCCAGGCATGCCCGCCTCAGTGGAAGCCAAGGAGCTATATCGGGACACAGCATGGGGACCTCGGGTGTCCCCCAACCCCATACAACACTCTGTACTGACTGACGCTATGTTAGCCGAATGGCTCCATAGTTATACATTCCCATTAGCAAGGGGAATGTGAGCCAGCAGCCCTGGGGCTCCCAGGCTCCTCAAAGCTTCTGTAGGTGCACGGGGGCGGCTGGGTCAGGATGAGACACCCTGAAGGAGGGTTGGGCAGGCATAGAAAAATGATATCAAGTGGACAGAGCTCCTTTCCCTGAGTTCCCAGTCACTGGACTGGAACAGAGGAAGAGACACGGGGGCAGGAAGCTAGCACACGCTAGTGCACAGGGCCGGTTCTTATGTCCCCTTCCCCCTCCCCAGGCCTCATCTTTCAGCTCAGCATGAAGTGAGGCAAAGGAATGGTATGTCTGTTACCGGGAGACGCCATGCCTTTTGCCCCACATGCCCCAAGTTCAAGTTTGTGATGGGATGTCCAGGATTAGCACTGTCATGTGGAAGCAAAGAATATGGAAAGAGGGAGTCTTTCAGGGACACCTGATGAAAGCTCTCCACTAAGCTCGCCCCTTGTCCCTCTCCAGAAAGAGCAGGAGTTGGGGATCTAGGGGGGAGGGGGAATCTCTGTTGCTTGTCTACAGCAAGGAGAGACAAGGTGGCCAAGATGGGAAAGGTGGAGCTAGAGTGTGGTAACCCACAAAGCTGAAGAAAGGTGTCTGTGGGGGGGCTCCCAAGCAAGAATCCCCAAGAGAGAACCGCTCCTCTCTCTGCAGTTCCTTGGGCACAGCACATTCACCCACTGGCTCCCCAGTACTGGAGGACAAGGGAAGGTGGTCCTTGTCTCTCAGCTGCCAACAGCAAAGCCTTCTCCCAGCTCTGCACCCTCTGCCACTCCTTCCTCCTCTTTCCTCCTTCCTCCTCCTCTCTTTCTTCCTCTCCTCTCCTTCCTCCTCCTCTCTCTTCTTTTCTCCGCCCCCCCCTTCTTTATTTTTTGTGATACTGGGTCTTTCCTCACAGCTCAGCTCCGGAACTTGCCATATAGCCCAGGCTAGCCCTGAACTCAAGACCCTCCTGCCTCAGCTTTCTGGGTCCTGGGATTCTAGGAGTGCTCAGCTAGCTCACCCCTTTCTTAGAAGCGGAACAATGACACACCCTTGTGGTGTGCCCATGAAGCACAAGGCCCCACACCACGCCAGTGGCTTCCCAGATGGAGGGCAGGCTCAGAAAGGTGAGTAACTTGCCAAGAACACAGGGTGGGGTCTGGGCTTTTCTCTAAATCTTGCTTTAGTCTTCAATTGGCTCTACTTTCATTTCTTGGCCTCTACCTCTGAGGGTTCTTCCTGTTCCCCTCATCAGTTCCTTCTCCTCTTCCCAGCCACTAAGTCCCCCCACCCCCCACCCACAAACTCATTCTCTGTTCAAGCATGAGCCACCTCTGTAAACCCTTAAGGAAGATGCCTCACTGACATTTCTGCAAGAGGAAGTAGAATAAGTCTGAGCCTGGGCAGTGAAGGGACCCCTTCGTTTGTGTGTGTGTGTGTGTGTGTGTGAGTGTGTGTGTGTGTGTTTGTGTGTGTATTTCAGGCTTTGAGT